TATAATTCTCATTTTAGTTTTATAATTTGTCACAATTAAAATTATATTTCATTAATTTATGCTTTATTTTTAATATATTATTAATTAATTTTGATGTTTTAGGTAGATAAATTATACGACAAAAACCCTGGAATTCTCAAACTTAACATTGTTGACTTGTCTCCAGCAAGTTGGATGGCTATTACTTGGTATATTTTTCTAATTTTTTTTTAATCTTTTATACTATTTTAAAAGTAAATTTTGATAATAAATTAATCACTTAAAAATAAAGTTTTTATTTATTTTCATGACAAAAAATTATTATGTTAAAAATGATGTTACAATTTTTTTTTATGTCATTAAATAATAAAAAATCTCTCTCATTTTTTTTATTTTAACAAAATCTTTTTTAATTTTCTTATTATAATTTTTAGGTCCCCAATTGGCTATATACCATTGATTGGGTTGAGAAAAAAAGCGCCCACATATTTCATTACCTATCATACCATATCATCATTATTTCAAGGTATGTCTTTTAATTTTTGCTATTTTTTTATATTAAAAAAATCAACCAAGACAATAGTGAAATTGGTAAAAATATTTCTATAGAAATTCTTTTTTAATAATATCATAAAAGTATTGAGACAAGATCAATTTCATACAAAATATCACTTGTTTTTATAAAAGAGAAAATCACCTCACACATCTATTTAAGACTTAACATTACTATAAATTTATTTTTTACGTATTATTATTATTATTATTACAGAGAACACAAACGATGAAACAAAAGAAGGTGTTTCAATGCTAAAGAAGAAAAATGGAGGAATTCCTATTCCACCTTTTGGGATAGCATCTTACAAGATGCAAAATGATGTTTGGATGAACAAAGCTCAAGCTAATACTATATATGATGATCTTCATGGTGCTGCAAATTGTTGGTTAAGTCAACTTAATTATTATCATCATGATTTCAATGTTTTCACCTCAAATGACAGAAATCTAGACTATATTTACTTATTTTGAACTTATGTTAAAAAATAAGACTTATGTTGTTGCTTTTAATTTGGGGTTGTAATAACTTAAACTTATGTACTAGTGGTTATGTTTTGAACTTGGTTAAATGAAAAAATCAGTAACTTGTATCATATGTGAGTTATTTTAATATTATTGCTTACAAAAATATTAGATTTTTTAGATTATATTTGTATGTGAAATTTTATAAATATTTTTTTGAACAACTAAAAAAACTGAATTTAGTGATAGATAAACAGCAAAATCTATCGCTAATTCTATTTTGAATTGATCTAGCGATGAATTTCTGTTAGTTATGAGCGAAATAGTGACAAAGTTCATAGCTTATTTCAAAGTGTTAAGACTGATTAATTTTTTCTCATCATGATTTCAATGTTTTCACCTCAAATGCCAAAAACAATAAATCTAGACCTATATTTACTTATTTTAAACTTATTTTAAAAAATAAAACTCATGTCGTTGCTTCTAATTTGGGTTTGTATAACTTAAAACTATGTTTTAGTTGTGTTTTGAACTTGGTTAAATGATAAAATCAGTAATTTGTATCATATGTGAGTTATTTCAATAGTGCTTACAAAATATTAGAATTTTAGATTATACCTGTATGTGAAATTTTATAAATATTCTTTTGAACAACTTAAAAAAACTGAATTTAGTGATGGATAAACAGCAAAATCTATCGCTAATTTTATTTTGAATTGATTTAGCGATGGATTTTTGTTAGTTATGAGCGAAACAACGATAAAGTTCATAGCTGATTTCATAGTGTTGAGATGGATTAATTTTTAATTATTTCATGATTAGGAAAAATTGATATGGTCGTTAGAAAAAAAATGAGATTACATTATCTAAAATAATTTATTTGTGCTTAAACTATCCCTAGTTATTATATTATTATTATATAATATATAAACGTGAGTGTAATTATTATTATTATCATTCTTATTATTATTATTGTTATTATTATCTTGTTTAATTTTTTGTTTAGATATGAAATTTCCTTACCAGAATTATATTTATCAAGTGATAGTTACTTGTTATATATTGATTTGAATAAAAAGGAAAAAATAACAAAGAGAAGACTAGTGCGAAAAAAATATGAGAAGAAAAAGTGAAAATATTTTCTTATTCAATTGAATTCTTTTTAAAAAGCGATTAAATCAAATGTCAAAATTTAAGATTTCCTGTTTCATCACAAGCTCTATCAATAATATAATTCAGTTTAGAAATAAATATTTTTATTGTGAGTTCTCATTTCAATCATCTTATTCCTAAAATAAAAAAAAATGGTATCTCAATTCTAATCAATATAAGTTTGATACAAAGATTTACAAATCATTATAGATCAAAAAGTAATTAAAAAAGATTAATATTATCAGTGCACAGAACATAAACTCTTTGTTAATATAAGATTTGAAGTTCAACTAAGCCGGTCAAATCTAATACAATCTTTTTTTTTTTAAATGACAAGAATTAACTACAACTGCTTATATATCACGATACATTTTTATAATTTATCCAAAAACACAATATTGAAAAAAATAACAACAAACTTGAAATTATAATCTTTAGGTTTAATCTGATAAGTACCTGAAAAATAAAATTATATGGCAATTGATTAAATTGTATTGACAATATAAGAAAACTAATTTATACTTTTAAACCCCATATAAAAAAAGGAAAAATTGAGTTGGATATTTTCTACTCCGGAAGTATCTTCACGTACTTTTCAATACTATGATAGTCTGTTTGACCAAACAAGCTAAATATTGAGAATCACGTGAGGAACTTTCGAAGTAGAAAAAAATCCAACTCAGAACAAATACTTTAGGATAAAAAAAATAAGAAGAATGTAAATGATTAATTTGAGTGAAAAAAATAAGAGGAAATGGTTGTATTTATAGGTATTTTGGTAGAGATTGTGGAAATGAATATTAATTATTTAGTTGAAGGAACTTAATACAAATTGCAGTTTTTGGTGAGAAACAATTACTTAATTAATTACAATTAACATATAGTATTTAGAAAGATTATAATTTGGGGATATTAATCTAATATAGATTTTGAGAATAAGAGTTATTAATGTGAGTCAAGATTTTTTAAATATCTTGTTTTCTTAAGAAATATGATTAATTCAGTTAAAACGTAATGCAACATATATTTTCTTGGTCTCCCATTTGATGTTTGATATCCACATTGACACACAATTATATTTGGATTTGTGTTGCTTAGGCTGCATGACACCGACGCCTTTCCCTTTGTATAGTATATGACTAGTGACTTCATTACCTCAACCTACTTTTTTGCTTACTGTAGCATAGACCTTCGCCAGACTTTCATCCCTTCGCCTATAGACGACAGCTTGACTTCGCTATCGCTCGATCATAACTTGATATAGAGTCGTGTAGTCATCGATTATACCACCATATTGAAGTAGAAGATCCTATGAGAGCATTTTTTGTCTTCAAACGTGGTATATGACTTCCATCTCACTCTTTCCTTTCTTCGGTGCTACCTTTTCATTTCTTCAAGGGATGGGGTTGGGGTGTATAATAACCTTTTTTTTAGGATGTCCGGGAACAACCCCATTCGGACGGAGACGTTTTCTACTAAGAATTTTTTCATATCTAGGGTGCAAACCCTGAGATATCTGGGCTCTGATTAAGCGATACAACTGTAATTTGTATATATAAATCGATAATTTACATAATTTTTATATTATTAGTGCAAATAATTCATTAATTATTACTACGCATCATCCAGATTAATAATTAAAACTAAACAATAGTTTAGTTAACGTAAATTAAGATTAAAGGAAATAAGAAAGAGATTGCTTGGTTGATCATTTTTAAAATAAAAATAAAAATTGCATTGCAAACAAAGAAAAACAAACCAATATATTAGTACCACGTAGTATCTTTTTTTTTTTGTTTGGTGTAAAAACATAAATGCAACTAGAACTTAAAAGGTAGTGGAAAATATTCAAGCAAGTATATCGACTTATCAGTGTATAGAACTTAAATCGAATAATAAAAAAAATGAAACGGATAACCGAGGCTGAATAATATACCTTGCCCAGAGCAACGTCACGACCTCAGGTAAGGAATATTAGTTTATCAGATATTTTAGAAGATACATATGTATAAATAATGAAAATACTAAATATAAATTATACAAAAATGACATTAAATCAAGTTTACGTCTATAATTGTTGATATTATTTACGAAAAATTCTGCATACGTCTACGATCACTTATATTGTTTTTTAAGTTCCTTCTCATGATATCACTTCCCTTTAATAGGGAAACTAACTTTATGAACAAACTTTATTGTCATAACTTGCCTAGAATGTTAAGGTTTCTTCAATAAAACAATAAAATTCTGACAACTTAGAAGTCCAGATAAGTAAATATAACATCTAGGTTGTTATTTTTCTTTTTTTAAAAAAATAAATAAATCTCCTACTATATATATATATAGTTGAAACAAATGATTTTCTAGCACAAAGATAGAGGATGTTTATAATATATAAACTAACCCTTCATTTTCCATCTCTATTCAATCTCACAATAAGGGTTTTTGTAGTACAAGGTAGCATTGTCGGTTCTTATTTCATTCATCAAGACAGTCTTACTTGCTTTCAAACTCTGTAGCAAGTTTTTCATCCACTACCTTTAGTTCAGATCGAATTAGAATGAAATAGATTCATTCAACATCTTGCACAACAATCGAACGGGAGACTCCTCGTGCATGTGAATTAGAACAATCACAAGAAAATTAGTCTCACTTGTAATTAGAACCAATATAAGGGTTTTCGTATTACAAGAGAACATCTTCGGTTCTTATTGTATTTATCAAGACAGTCTTAGCTTGCTCAATTCTGAACTCTGCGTTAACCAAGTTCAGTCACCACCCTCTGAGTCAGATTCATTTAGTAACTTTCACAACAATCAAAATTTGACCTATCGTGCTCGTGTATTATTAAAGAAAGATGGCAAAGTTGGTGGGACATGTAGGAACAGGTCTTGGTTTCTTTCTAATAGGTATTTGGCACTTGTTTAACCATATTAAACTACATGTTTTGCACCCAAATGGCTACACTTCTTTACTATGGTTCCCAACACCAAAAATAAGACATTTTGAACTTTTCTTGATTATGTGTTTTACCTTAATTTTCTTATTAATGGAAATTTTTGGTAATCATAATCTACTAAATTTAGATGGAACAATCCCTTCTAACCATCTTCATTATCTTGAACATTCATGTATCTCTTTATCTTTATTTATTTATTCATTTTTCTCCATGTTAATTGACAAAATTACCCCTACAATCCATTCCCAAAATGGACTTACAAATTTTCTTGCATCAATTGCTTTTGGCCAAGAATTACTTCTATTTCATCTTCACTCAAGTGACCATATGGGGGTTGAAGGACAATACCATTGGCTTTTACAAATAGTAATTTTTGTGTGTTTAATCACTACCCTTTTGGGAATTCCATTTCCTAATAATTTCTTGAATAATTTTGTTAGATCTTATAGTATTATGTTTCAAGGCCTTTGGCTTATGGTTATTGGTGTTATGCTTTGGACACCAAAATTTATACCAAAAGATTGTTTTATCAATTTGGAAGAAGGGTATCAAGTTGTTAGATGTCATGGACATAAATCACTTGAAAGAGCAAAATCATTAGTGAATATTGAATTTAGTTGGTATATTATTGGAACCACTTGTTTAGTGGTTTCTCTTTATTTGGTTGGTTTCAAGATTTTCACAAAAAATATTAATGTTGAGTATCAATCCATAAAAAATAATTTTGAGGATAATCAAGAAGTGGATTTTATGGATGTTGAAGATCAAAAGAGAAGTCAATTGAAGAAGAAGTTTGTTGAAATGGGCAAAGTGTTTGCTACATAATTGACAAGATAATAATAATAATTATTATATGTATTATATAGGCAAGAAATGAAGAGTTCATTGTAAAAGCAAGGGATTGGAATGTACAAAAAAAAAAAAAAAAGGGGGGGAGGGGGGGGGGGGGGGGGATGTTTGGTGGTTGATTGTATATTTGTTTTTAGTTATGAGTAGAAAATAGTTTTAGGGTCTATATATTGAAAATAGTTTTTCTGTCTCTACGAGATAGGAATAAGATCTATGCATACTCTATTGTATATATGTTATGCTACATTGTCATTGTTGTTGTATAGTAGGGGTGTATTGTATTTAATTTATGGCCTTTAATTAGGGAGAATGAGAAAAAATATGTATATATCTATGTTACACACAATTTTTCTTTTTTTTTTATAAATGTATTATTTATTTTTGTAATAGGTCTTGTGGTCTAGTTAACATTACATTATTTGACCGGATACAAAGTAATAACTGATTTAAAAAAAAATTGTGTAACATTTGCGATCAATTATTAGTGTTGACAGATTGCAGATAGGCACGCATATTACTTCCTCTGTTCACTTTTATTTGTCATGTTGCGTTTTTCGAAAGTCAATTTGACTAATTTTTAAAGTTAAATTAGATTACATTAATTCGATATTTAAAACAAAAAATTTAGATATCTATACGAAAAGTACTATAAATTGCAATTTTTCGCATATCAATATGATAAAAATACATCGTAAAATATTAGTCAAATTTTTTATAATTTGACTCTAAAAAAGAAAACTGTGACAATAAAAAGAAAAAGTAGTTATTAAATATAAGATGATGTAAAAACACAAGGCATAGGAATGCACAAAAATGGGGGTGGGGGTGGGGGTGGGGTGTCCCTTCAAAATATAGTGCTATCTTAAATCATTAAATCACATGCATTATAACTCACCTACTCCACACATTATGAAAATTTCACTCCACTAGTCATATTATATGAAAAATAAAAAAAAGACATTGACACTATAATTTCTCAACTATAATGATTTCTTACCCAAACCTTTTTAAAAATTTTAACTTTGTGTTTCTCTTTTGAGTTCAATTAATTTAATTTGCGACGCTTAAAGTTTTGATAAAGTTTTTTTTTTACTTTTGTGTATATAATGAATGAAGTAGCTTTACATTTTTGAACGATTTTATTTTTAGAAATATATTTATAATAACATGCCATTTTATTCAGATTCAATTTAAAACTCGAACATATATTAAGCTAATAATGTGCTTAACCAATGCGATATTAGGAAGTGCATTTCGTTTGTATTATGTCTACATGTTATTCTTATCACATTTTCATTTATACGTTGTAAAATTTTCCGACTAAGTAGTGTCATGAAGGGACACCACTTACTCACAGCCCACAAACTAGCACATATGCTAGATATATGTAGCTCTGTTCATCAAAATTGAGACAGATAAAAAAAAGCACCAAATGTTGTCTTTACTAAAATTAACATAAGATAATAAGAACGATTAGTTGAATATTAATAGTGTAACACATAAACATCATATTGAACAATAGCATCCTTAGTTTTCACATTCAATGAGATAGTCTTTGCTTGAACATACCCTCTAGCGAATCGGAAAAGCCCACTACCGCCGATCACCGGCATCTCGCGGACCGTCTCGACTATCGAATTCCGACCGAGCACCGCTAACGAGCTACCATTATATTTCCCTTCAATAAAATTAAAATTCATGATCATTAATAAACTCAATTCACTTAATGAAGACGAGCCATAAAACCCTTGTGCCCTTCCAATAATCTTGGAACTCAATTTTGGTTCTAGGGTTAGAGCATTATCTATCATGTTGACTATGCCAAAACCCGTTTTTGCGGTGTTTTTTGGTGGTGGTACAATCATAATTGATGTTGGTTTCGTGCCACTAAGGATATCATGAAAATAAAATTTGAAATGGCTAAGTTTTTCCCTTTTTAGACTCACGGACTCTCTATTTATAGATTTTTCGAACGCATATTCTTCTTTTTTTCCGATAATTGGAAAAACTACGAAAGATATGAGAATGAAGATTGTACCAAAGAAGTGTAGGAGTTTAGCCATTGAAGTGGAGTTTTTTGATGATATGAAAATATTGGAACAATCTATTTATAGGTGGTCAAGTCACAATGTTCAATTATTTAAATATGGAAAAAATTGAAGTAATGTTATAGTGGTTAAAGGGTCCACCAATTACTATAATTATGAAAAGGAAAATAGTTTTATGACTTTATTATATATAATAATAATGTGCGAAGTAAATAGAAAAATCGTGAAATAAGGTTGTAAATTATATCATAAATTTGAATTTGATTTCTTTTTTAGTACAAAAATTAAATAAACGGGCAAAGTGAGAGAAATGACTTCTAGTAGGTGGAGTCCAGTCCCTCGAAAAGGTATATCTGACTTAAAAATTAGTGGAGATTAAAATAAAACAAAAAGTAGTATATTTCAAATCTACTAATTACTATCTTAATTAATCATTAAATCACATGCATAATGTTCACTTATTTAATAAATATTTTTTTTTTTAAAAAAACTAACACAAATAATTTAATATATAGATACGCATATTCATTTTACCGAACAAAGTTTGAAGGTGTGCAAATAAAGTGAACTAATCCACTGGTGATTTAATTCACGCTAAGCTATTATTTTCACCAAACATTAACTCATCATGTTCATCTTCATCTAGCCAATTCATGGGTGATTTCTTCAAATTAAAGGTGAAAATGGACTCCCAGGAAAAGGAATCAGATGAGAACGATCAATTTGGTTTACTTAAATATTTCCGATAGTTAAGAAAGAAAAATGATTCAAGAAATAGAGATAAAATCATCTTATAATCATCCTATATTAGATCTAAAGCTTGCATGAGAGATCAATAACAGAGGAAGTTGTTGATTTCTCAAAGCAATCGAATTTGTAAGTTCTAAAGCGACGATATAAATATTGGTTGCAGTGGCTAAGTCAATTCATCTTTCTTTCACTTCTAATACTCCAAAACATCTCCCATATGTTAGGTGGTCTGATATTAACCATAAAAAATTAAAAGGACGAGCATCAAGTAGGACGATTAATGTCTATTTATGTACGTATGTGTTTTTAGATTCAATTAGGCTTTAATAAATAAGGTATTATCAGTAATGAGTAGCAGGTAGATCTCAAACCAATACAAAAATTATGATAGCGTGTCGAAGCTCTATTATTGGTTTTAGGAGGAACAAGGTTATGTTGCTGTAAAAGAATTGCGACGGAGAAGGGTTGCATACTCACTTTCTTTGGGAAAAAAAATTATTATAAAAAGGATAAATATGTCAAATTATAATTAATTTATATTTATTTTAAATAAGTTTAAAAGAATGGTTACCAAAAAATCAAAATAAGGGAGGTATAGGTAATATCTCAAACCACAGGATGGGTGAGTGTAATAGAGTAAAACCTAGAGGGAGGTCTCTGAAATTATCCCTATATTATAATGTGCGAAGTAAATACAAAAATCGTGAAATAAGATTGTAAATGATATCATAAATTTGAATTTGATTTCTGTTTTAGTACAAAAATTAAATAAACGTGCAAAGTGAGAGAAATGACTTCTAGTAGGTGGAGTCTAGTCCCTCGAAAGGTATATCTGACTTAAAAATTAGTGGAGATTAAAATAAAACAAAAAGTAGTATATTTCAAATCTACTAATTACTATCTTAATTAATCATTAAATCACATCCATAATGTTCACTTATTATGATAGTTCCACTCTACTAGTCTTATTATATGGGGAAAAAAAGTGTGTTAGAAGCTAGGGTTTTCCAACTACATTGATTTCTTTCCCAAACTTTAATTGATTGTCTGATTTAATTAATTTATAATAGTATCATTTAAAAAAAAATCTCAATTAATTTTTATTATGAAATAAATACAATATGGTAAGATCGTACAATTCGGTGCTCATATGAATTGGGTCTAAATAAATTTTTACTCGTAAAATAGTCTAATCAAACGTTTAAATAGAAAGATTTTTACATAAATAATCTATTTTAAAAATATAATGTAGATCGATTATATGATTATACATATATTATATATAGATTATATGTACATTAAATATTCGCTTACTGCATTTATTTATTTATTATAATTATATTATATATATGAATTGTATATATATTTGTTTGTTTATTATAATAATCTTTGCACCAAACTTTACGTTTCAAATGTCATAATGTGTCTCACACCTTGTCTACTATGTGATGATAGACACTTTATGCATATGGGCAGTGCAAAAATTGATTTAATCAATAAATTGAATTGATAAAAATATTATTGGTTTATTGGTATAGAATTATTGGGCCAATGATTTTGTAAATTTTTTAATTGGATTATCAGTTCGGTTTTTGGTTTAATGATTATTGTTAATGATTAAATCGATAATCCAATAAGATTACATTAAAATTATTATTTTACTCCTTATTATATATCTATGACTTTAACATTTAACCAATCCTATTTTTAAAATTTTAGTATTAATTTCTATTCTCGACATATAGTATTACCTTCTCTCTTCTTAATTTTAGATTTGATCGTGACAAACAAAAATAGTTAATGTTGTTTCCTCAATTTATTGTGTGAGTCTTTAGAAGGAATTCAAATAATTATATGTTTTAAACAAAGTAATCAACGTAGAAATTTGTGTTGAACTTCTATTCCACTACTATTTCTATTTTTATGAACATGATGTATGTATGATCACATGAGCATTTTTTTATCGGTTAAATCGAAAACCGTTCCGTTAAGAACCAAAAACTGATAATAAATATCTTGTTAGTTTGGTTATCAGTTTAGCATGTTAAAAAATCAGAAATAAATAAACTGAACCACTAATACATAAAAACTGAACTGAACTGTCCGATATAGATCTCTAGAAAGATTCTTGATGGCCCGCACGAGTGAACTCATTATTCTTCTCATCAGATGCATAATAGATTTGACGAACGCCCAAACACACTTAAAAAAACTTAGGCAAAGGTACTCATTACCCCCGTGAACTTGAAGCTTTTTATATGGTGTACACCTAAACTAAATTCTGTTTTAATTACCCCCGAACTTGTTTATTCCTCCGTCGCGTACACCATTTTTGTCCACCTGGTGTAGAAATTGACAACACACTCTACAGTCTACTAGGCGCGTGAGGAAGTGATTTTTTGCCACATCACAAAGCTACAACGGTAAAAAAACGTAAAACCTCCATTTTTCTTTAATATTTGGCATATTTTAAACGAAAAATAGGGCAAAATGTAAATGAAAAGTAAAGGAAACAAAGATTAACACTTATTTGGTAAGAATTTCCGACAAATTTGAAATTCAAGGAGTTCCGCGAAATCAGCCCTTATTCAAAAATAACTTTTAAACGATGAATTTTAATATTTGGCATATTTTAAACGAAAAATAGGGCAAAATGTAAATGAAAAGTAAAGAAAACAAAGATTAACACTTACTTGGTAAGAATTTCAGACAAATTTGAAGTTTAATCAACCAACTTCACGTCTAGAAAAACCCAAATCCAAAAGGAGTTCCGCAAAACAGCCCTTATTCAAAAATAACTTTTAAACAATGAATTTTAAATTTAATAAATTTATTTTTTGCAATATTAATTTATCTAGGTGGCTATTATTTATCCAGGTGGAAATCCACATCACCACTTTTGCCAGCTGTCGCGCGCGTGTAGTCACAATAGGAGCAGGTGGACGAAAAAGGTGTATGCGACGGAGGAATAAACAAGTTCGGGGGTAATTAAAACGAAATTTAGTTTAGGTGTACACCGTATAAAAAGCTTCAAGTTCGGGGGGGTAGGGGTAATGAGTACTTTTGCCAAAAACTTATGCAACACCCTCACAATTAAAAGAAGCATTTGTCATTTGAAAGTTAAAGCTTTTCTTCTGTTTTACGAATCCTACCGCTAAAAAGTTGACAAGATAAGAATGAATCGGATTAGGACTAACATAAGAGTCATTTGGTAAAGATTTATGGGTTATTTGTACAAAAGGCCTAATTTGAAGAAAACTAAATAAGTGTTCAGTTTTTTGGGCTATTTGATTAGGGCATTTGCAAAAATGTTCTATTTTGAAGCCACAATTTTAATTCTTCCACCGTAAGCTAAGTTTAATAAATGAGCCAAAAAAATAAAAAATCATCAAGCCACTTTCAATAAATTATTAGAATTCACAAATAAACACTTTTTAGTCCTTGTAGTTAAAAATTTATCAATATTTCGAAGTTTCAAATTATATCTTGGAGTTTTATAGGTAAAATTTAAAATTTCATGACAATGATTATTCTTTTAAAATACGGTTAAAAGTAGTTAATGCGCGATAATTTTCCCTTTCTAAAATTGTATTCTGTGTAATTAATATAGCCCATTGGTCTAAAATGGATACAATTTAAAGAATTATCTCCAAAAAGGCCATATGGTGCAAATAATCCAAGCAATTTCAATTTGATAAAGCTAATGTCAATATTAACAAGTTATTTAAAGAAAATAAAATTATACATTAAAAAGAAAAGCTTAAACTACATTATGGCAAATGACAAATAACTTTTTAACCACTATTAACTTTAGTAACATATATATATATATATAGGTGAGAATATTAAGAAACTTAGAGACACAAAGTTGGCTATCTGTTTAAGTATTTATTAGGTCATGTTAGTGTAAAATTCTAGAGAATTGTTGATGCTTCAATAATATACTACTAGTTATTAACAATTTCGAGTGTAGCCTGTGTAATCTTGCTCATATTTTGATCTTAAAGTTAGGATAAAGAAAGAGGAGTGTGGTAAGCGAATACTCAACAAAAAAATTGTTCATTCATGATGAATCTTCATAACAGAACCAATCTCAACGTGTTCGATATTAAGGCACAATTATTGTTTGTTAGTGCAATTAGATACAAAGTTAGTTATTATTAGGCTAGAAAACCAACACTCATAAAAAGGTATAAAGCAAATGAATGTTAGTGCAAAATTATGAGAATTCTTGATGTTTCAAGAATAGTAGTTAACAATTTCTAATTAATGCAATATTTTTTTCAAGAGAATTGGTGAGGTTTAGTAGAAAGTTCTTTAATTATCAATAAAATTAATTAAATGCATTACTATGACAATTTTTAAGAAAATATACCTAAAAGGTCACTTTTTAGACAAATCTTTTTCTTTCAATTTTGGTAAGAAAGTTGCTTTAAAAATATACATATTTTTAATGAAGTCTATCGAATATTGGCTCAAATCTCTTCCAACAGAATATCTATCGAAAATTTTATATTTGCAGTTGATCTCCATAAAAAAGAAACATGTTTTGATAAGTATATATATTAGATTATTTTATATAACAATAGTCAACTTATAATTGAATACTTTCATTTTTGTTCATCTTGGAATTAGCCATACATGTCTTAAATTACATGAATATAATTAATTAGCAAGAAGTTAGCTCAGAATTCTTTGGAGTATACCAACATGGGTTGTGGTGCATTGGTGGAGTGTTTCACCCTTAACTAGAGATCTCGGATTCGAGACTTGGGTATGGAGAAAATCCTGTTGGGAGCGCCACCCCTGAATGGGCCCTGCAATGCGCGATCCGAATTTACTCGTAGCTTCAATGTGGGCTTCGGACACCGGGTGGAAAAATAAATAAATTCTTTGGAGTAAAAATGGAGGATAAATCTTGTTTAACAAGAAAATAAGACTTTTTTTTCTTTAATTAATCCTTTAGTCAAAGTAAAATAATTTTTTTCCTTCTTCTTTTGGGAGATTCTTGGTAACATTATCCATATATAATATTAAAATTTTTGATAGCTAATTCGTATCTAAATAACAGAGAAAAGTTAATGAGTCCTATAAAATCAAGCTCATAATTTGTCGATTTATCTTTTGGGTTAAAATTTAAGGGGACAGAATCGCGAGGCCCAAAAGTCTTGAAGTGATTTACAGATATACTTACATTAGTGTTAGCGGTTTAGATCAAATTTTTAAATGATCAAATCTTTCGAGAAATTGAATATAAATTCTCTTATTTAAAGTTAATGATCAAAAATACATTTAAACTATCATTTTTGTGAGTTTTATACCTCAATTATTCTTTGTTCTCTTTATTTACCTCAATGAATAATTAAGATATAAAACACATAAAAATAAAATAATTTAAATGCTAAATGAGAATCAAAAGATATTGCCCTTTTGACTATTAATTATGTTTGAAAATTAAATAGAATTTTAAGAATACTTTTCCATATTTTTTATCAGTGGTAAAAACAATTTTTGTTTGAAATTAAAATAGAGAAGTACAAGTTTGACCTTTTGAAATTATTTACATTGTGACCAAATTGACTTCCAATTATTCTACACACATATATAAATGTATAAAAAATTCATCAAAAATTTATAAATTTCGGTGATTTTGAGCGGATATAATTCTCATTAAAATGGTGGTACATATATATATCCACGACATTCAATAAATAATGCACATATACCCTCGTTGTCAAACAAATAGTGCATATATACCCTCACCATCTAACAAATGGTGCATATTCACACCTTTTTATTAACTGACATAGTTAAAAAATTTAAAACTAGTTTCGTAATTCTAAAAATGCTACATGACTCGAAAAGTTACCTCAAACTCTTTTTTTACCGATCCAGACTAGACCTAACTAAAGAAAATTCAATTTTCTTTATATACAGACTCCACCCAAACTTATTTTATGGCTGAGTAGAAGAGGGAGATTGATTTTTTTCATTTGGTTCGAATCTAGAAGGGTAAAAAAATATATATGCAAGATGATTTAAAAGGACAAATGATATTTTTGAAATTAAAAAAAATTAGCGCTTAGATATTTTCTTAATTTAGTAAATATAAGTTGTTAATGAAAATAATAAAAACATTATTTGTAAGACGGTGGAGATATAAATGCATCATTTTAAATTTTTTTAATGAGGTGTATATCTGTTTTAAATACAAAATAAGGGTTATTTTTCTTTAGACAAAAATGACTTTTAAAAGCAAAACACGATAATTAATATAAGACACATAAACTAGGTAATATGATGTAATTGATTAGATAACATTAATTATATGTAATTATGTAAAAGTATTTTTCCCCCATCATTAGTAAGAAGAAACACCAAAAGAGAGCCTCTATTACTTGGATTTTCTTTTTTTAGACAAAATATTTGAGGTCACTGATGATCACATATAACTTTTACTTTTTAATCACCAACTTTTATATATATATATATATATATATATATATATATATATATTAAATCCTTCTTTATTAGTTATGGACAATTTAGGATATAATCATTACAATCAGAGGTAAAGCTAAAGACGTAAAGGGTTCATCTAAGCACTTGTCGTTGAAAATTATATTATATATATAAAATTAAAATTAGACATTTTATTTTTCTAATTTCTTTTTCTTTGTACTTTTATATACTTAATCTTTTCAGTAAATATTGATCATAATAATAATGATATCAAGGATGATGAACATAGTCGATATCTCTTCCTAAATTCAATAACACATCTTTATAACAACAATTCTCTGTAACAATATCTTATTATAATAACTATATTTCATGTTAAATCAATTTTTCATTTTATATTGTATCATATATTCCTTATAACAATATTATTTTGCTATAAAGTAGAAAAAAATCAAAATAAACTAGAGACATTGTGAAAGAGACTAAATGGTCATTTGATTGGAATACAAATTATAATGAGATAAGTTATGATAAAATTACTTATACTAGAATTGTTTCTTATTAACGATTTGATTTGTTGTACTAAAAATAATATTCATGACATACTTTCAAAAAATAAATTATTTATTTACAAAAATATCCTCAGAAAACAAGAGTTTTAACTACTCAGCCCAAATTGCATGCAATATCACAACTTTCTTTAAAAAAATTAGTTGCTCTAGAATATCAGAGTATCATTTGCTTTATTTGATCATATCGTAATATGAAATGAACCAATAAGATATGAATAAAATATTTTTTAGATTCCTTTATGAGTTGGAATAACACAAGAATTCAAAGCAACACACATAAAACATATCAATTAAACTATTGTTAATAATATTTAATTTTATACTATTAATTTGCATGATCATGTTAAATTGTCTTATTATTATACTACGTACATTTTAAAATTGCTAAGAATCGATATTTAATAATATAAGATATTGAAGTACAAGCAAAAGGTGCAATATTAATATATAGGGTGTGAAGGGTAATTTTGTCATTTAATAAGTTTATCCGATAATAAATTACAATAGAATTATTATATTACCTAAGAGAAAGAATAACTTATTCTGATATTAATTATTAATCTCAAGATAAATTATCTCTGACTTACAACTAAACAACAAATTAATGACTCAATCAGTTTATATAATATATATATATATTATCAATGAAATTTAACCGATAATAGTATAATAAGTTACTATCTTCTTTATCAAATTACCAATGGAGTAATACATATCAAAATACATACTTATATTTTCCTTATAATTGATTTGATTGTATACATATTTTTTAATTTTTATACCGTCATCGTATACAACTTAAATAGTATTAAAATAACCTATTATATCTTCTAGAAAAATAGCCACCTCAGCCAAGTGCTAAAACCAGATAACTTTTATTAGTCAACTCTTAATGCCAAATGTTAATTGTATTCTCATTTACTCAAAGCCACCACAAAAACCAAAAACCAAAAAAAACTCTTAACTAAAGCCCAAAAAAATCAAACTCTTAATTAATCAATTTAACCCCTTATAGAAGTCTCTAGAGTCCTTCACAATTCTCTTAATTTGTGTACCCCCACCCCACCCCCATCCCATCACAAACTCTTTATATAGCTCATTTTCTTTTCCCTCTCTTTTCCATCTCTATTTTTTCCAAAATCAAGAAGAAGCAAAAGTGGTCATATTTTGCAATTTTTGCAAGACAAATTTCCATCTCTATATTTATTCAAGGGGTTATATTTGCAATTTTAGCTAAGCTAAGAATTTGCTAAAATGGGCACTTTAGTGGGACATGTAGCACCAGGATTTGGCTTTTTTTTAATTGGTATTTGGCATTTGATTAATCATATTAGATTACATGTTGTACATCCAAAATCATATACTTCTTTGCCTTGGTTCCCAACTCCAAGAATTAGGTACTTAGAGCTTTTCTTGATTATGGGGGGTTGTTTGGCTTCAATTTCAATGGAACTTTTTATTGGTCCAAAAAAACATCAACCTTTAGATATTGATGGAACTATCCCTTCTAACCATCTACACAATTTTGAACATTCAAACATCTCTTTAACTTTCTTTGTGTATGCTCTTTTCACCATAATCTTTGACAAAGTTACACTTCAACCCCAAACAAAATATGGGATGACACAATTACTTGGAGCTATTGCTTTTAGTCAACAACTTTTGCTTTTCCATCTTCACTCTAGTGACCATATGGGAGTTGAAGGACAATATCATTGGCTTTTACAAATAGCCATTTTTGTATGTTTAGCCACTACTCTTTTGGGAATTCAATTTCCTAAGAGTTTCTTGAATAGTTTTGTGAGGTCTTATAGCATTATGTTCCAAGGGATTTGGCTTATGGTTATGGGGTTTATGCTTTGGACACCAAAATTCATCCCAAAAGGTTGTTTTATCAACTTTGAAGAAGGTCATAAAGTGGTTAGATGTGAAAATGATGAAGCACTTGAAAGGGCAAAAGCTTTAGTGAATATACAATTTAGTTGGTATATAGTTGGGATCACAATATTTTGTGTCACCCTTTACTTGATTTTAATTAAGATTTTCCAAGAGAAAATTGAGTACCAATCTTTGAATAGCAAATTTGAGGAAATAGAAGATGATTTGGAGGATGTTGAGGCTCAAAAGAGTAGCAAAAATGGTGTTGAATCAAATAGGTTTCTTGAAATGGGAAAAATATTCGCGTCTACATCAGATATGGAAAGATGAAAAGGAGAGAAACGATAATTGAAAACACTGTTAAAGATAGAAATTTCTCTATGGACTTCATTCATGATTACATTTTTCATTGAATTTCTAATATATCAGTAATTTCTATTTTTTAGTAGGGGGAAGGGTATTTGTACAAAAATAAAGATTTGGTTAAGTAGGGGTGTTTGTTAATTTATTTGTTATTTTTTTAATTAATGTCACGATAAAATAATTGTTGGCTTTGTATAATAAAAAAAGAACCAAAAAAGAGAGAGGAGGGAATTTGGTTCAAAATTTGTGTGGTTTGTATTGGTAGCTTGTCAAAGGTGGGAAAACTATTAATGTTAAGAAAAAAAATAGTATAGTTAGGAAAGTTGTATAATTTGTAATTAAAGGTTTCTTATTTAGTTTATTTATTATGGAAATCATGTATCCCTTATAATCAAATTTTCAGTTACGTACTTTTATTTTGTGAAAGTTTTATTATTTTGCAGAATTATTATTATTATGGAATGAGGATGAATGATAGTGAAGGAAATCAAGAATAGAATAAGTATTTTTATTTTATTTTTCAAACTAGCTAGGAATTATGATATTGAATTCGAGTTCTTTATTATAAGTGAATGAATCATATCTATCCTATCAATTGAATAAGGGTGAACGGAGCCTATCATAGTTAATAGATTGAATGAACTTGGGTATATTTATTGACATTTTTTTGTTTCTCACTCCATGTATGGTATCCGCTTTGATCTGAATTAATATGTCACGTGAAAATTCATTAAATTAAAAAAGTTAATGATAAAACACACAGTTAAACTATTATATCTTTTTAATTTCATACCTTAACTATCCATTGTTTATTTATATATCAAAATTATCACCTTTTCACGAGTTTTTTTTACCTCAACTACAGTTGTATTAGAACATACCTCGATACTGAATTGATCTACACATGTCTATCATCGATTGAATACAAATATATAATCAACTCAACATCAAGGTGTATTTCAATACAAAAAATAATGAGTTAAATAAATAGATAGATAGAATAATGGATAGTTAAGATAAAAAAATTGCGAAAAAAATAATGCTTAATTAACATTTAACCATAATTAATAATCTGATTATGTTGATTTTTTTCTTAAAAATGTGTGGCCAAGATTTATTTCTCAATTAATGGTAAGAACCTAGAAGAAGTTAGTCCATGTTGTAAGTTTTCACGTGACTTTTCTATTTTTCGTTTAGAATATTCAATGTTTTTCAGGGGTCAACTAAAAATTAATTTAGATTTACATTCAAAAGTATATTTTTTATAAACAACAACTTTTAAAACGAGATTTCTGATTAAGCAAAAATAAGTTATCATAAAGTAATAAGTATTCTTTCATTCTCAATCATAGATTTTTTGAATTTGAGCCTTAAACGTGAAATTAGTTTTAGAAAAAAGTAACTCCTTAAAATAAACTTTTCAGCATCAATTCAATAAATCGACCCCCAAAATAAATATCAAACTCGAAATTTTCTAAAAAAACGAGTTATGTTATTTTAAATTTACACAAATCAAGTAATGAATTTAAAGAACTTTTGACTTTTGATAATTCTATCCCTAGAGGTAACTTTCAACAATCTCTTTCAACATTATTTAAAGTAAGTATTAAATATTGTTAATTTTTTATATCCTTGCTCAATATTAGAAATGATAAAAAAAAATCTAATTAAAGATATAGGAAATTTGAGGGGATATAAATGGTAATCTAATTAAAAAAAACATCATGATTAAATACTATTAAATAATTTTCTTAATATGTCAATATCTTAAACTACATTTAAAAAAATATTAATGGAAAATTTTTTCAAAACAAAATAGCTTTCAGATCCTACTTGTGAAATATTCCAAATTAGGAAAAAAAATTAAAAATTTAGGCCCAATAACTCAATATTTTTTCAAAAAAAGCCCAAAATAAAATCTTTTATGGCCCAAAAAATCCCCAAAATATTACTAAAGTTTTCTTGAACTTTTTAGCTTTCTCTCTCATCGACACACACAGACAACACAGTTTCTCCATTTTCAGTGTACTTCTCTTCTTCAAACCCCCCACCCCACTTCTCCCCTTTCTGGGTTTTGTTCTCTTAATTGAGTTTTACCATTTTCTTGGTTTTTTTTCTCGAATTTTTTGACTTTGATTTCAAGAATTTAGAGAATTTTGAAGTTTTTTTTTTTGGAATTGTGTTGATGAAATTCGTATCAAAGATATAAAATGGAGAACTCTGCTGCTGCATCTGATGAGCCTCAGAAGAAGCGTCCTCATCTCAACTCTGTGTTTTCCTCACCCACCATGGCTCGCCATTCGAAAACTTTTTCAGATAACAAAGATGTAAGATTAGTTTCTTTAATGCCTCTCAATTTGCCCCAATTTTTTTATGTGTGATTGAAGTTATTTTTTGTACTTGTGTGTTTTTAGGGTTCCATAGTTGAAAGAAGAAATGACCCTTTTTATGTACTGTTCTATCTATTTTAGCATATAAGGAATAATTTTTATTTGTTTTTTTATTTAGTTTGTTGATTTTTAGCTTTAATTTTGATGTAAAGGGCTTGTTGATCTAACTGGCTTTCAGTTTTATGGCTGAATTGGAGTGTGGTGAATTATGCTAAGAAAAGGGAAGTTTGTGTTTTTTTTTGTCATAAAACCTAAAATTAGGGGTTTATGAGCTATAAAGGTGTGATCTTGAGGAAAGATTGTTCAAGGTGATGCTTTTGTTGTTGTTGTTTTATGGATGATCAGTTGGGTACTGTTTGCTGTAGAGGGTAAGTGATGATGAAAAGCACATGTCAAAGTCGTAACTTAAATAGAGTTGGAAGGTGTGATCTTTTCCCATCTCCGTTAGCCTTGGTGGGTAGAGTTGCCTAGTACATGTCTTGGTGACATGATGCATGTATTCACTGGAATAGCGCAAGCTGGTCATTACTGGAAGAGAGAGAGAGAAAAACTTTTCTTTTGAAAGTTTGGGGTAAGGGAAGGGGAAATGAGGAGGGGATTACAAGTTGGGGAATCGAAACCCTCACTGACAAGATGGTAGTTCAAGTAGACAACTAACTGAGCTACTAAGAGGGTGTTTAGATTGACTTCTTGAAAATAGCTTATAAGCTAAAAGTCATAAGTTGAGAATAACTATCTTTTGGCTTTTAGCTTATTTTTATACCTTTTTGGCCGAAAAGTAAGTGCTTAAAAAACTTTTTATCTTTTTCAAACACCAGAAGAAGTAGAAAAAGAGCTTAAAAGTCAATAACACTTTAAATAAGTCAATCAAAACACCCTCTAAGATTCCCCGAGAGAGAAAAACCCATCCCTGATACACCTTTTTTTTTTCTTTTAAAAGAAATCCTTTTTGAGCGGTTGTGGTTGTGCTTTCCAATATGCCTTTAAATGTTTAGGCATGTTATTAATATCAGATGGTATGGTCATACTATTTATTCCCCTCACCATTTATATAAATCTATTGCTAATACTCTAGCACCACGAAGTGAATTTCTGTTAAAAGATTTATGAAATGTATCACTTTATTTTATGGTAAGAAGTTCCGATGAATTAGATACAACTGAAGTCTTAGGTTAATCCGTTAATGTGGTGGGGTGAATACGGAGTAATAGCTAATAAAGGATCTTTTTTTTTTTTTTGGAACTGGTAACTTACTAATAAAGGATCTTACATGCTGTTTAATTTTACATACTTCTTTTTTGTAAGATGCGAATATTTTTTATCTTATGCGGATTCACTTTTAGACTATTTCATGCCATCATTAACTAGTTGCTTAATACGACAATAGGTTCAAATTGCCAAAAGAGAATTTGCATTGTTCTACCTACTTTTTTTTTTTAATAATTTGTTTATTTATTGAAGTAAATAGATTCTTTGATGGTGTCAAGCAGATGCAAAAGGTACAAAGTGATTGAGTTTGCCTTTTCTACTGTCTTAAAGAAAGAGCATGTAAAGAACTTCAAGTAAAGATGGGTGTTGTTGATGGAAGTTGATCTTCTTATGTTGCTTCTTCCTCTTGTGGCATGTTCTTCCTTGTCCTTTTTTCTCTCAAACTTACTGTCCTCAAGTTTCTTGTCTCAAAATGTGAATCACCATTAGATATGTTTGACAATTACCAGTCTGGTCTGAAACACAGTGTGCAGTTTCTGAAACTGATTTAGCGGTGCCAGAATCCGGTATGGATCCCACACCCACAATCACCCCATGTTGTGTCGATAGGGGTGCGACACCGTAAGTGAAGAGTCCGAGCAACTTAGCTATAAGTCTAGTGTGAAACATCTATAATAAAATTTCTAAGGCGCTTTCTAGTAGACTAAAAAAATGTTGGACAAGGCTATGGCTACCTCTTCGAATGCATTTGTGGAAGGAATGGGAGTGGCAAACAAAGTGGTCGACTTTGGAAGTGTTAAAGAAATGGACCTTGAGCCTAACTCAACCTCAAAAGTTAGCTCAAGAGGTGAGGACATCTCAAGCTATATTAAAGAGACCACCCATTCCTTAAAAGATTGATGTGGGACTTTTCACACCCTTCTCCATGCTCAAGGCTGAATATCTGAAGCGTGTGCAATTTAATATGGGGCCAAGCATCGAAAAATGAGAAGTGGGATGGGTCATGCTCTTATACCATATTAAAGAAATGGACCTTGGGCGAAACTTACCTCAAAAGATAGCTCAAGAGGTGAGGATTTCTCAAACCATATTAAAGAGACCACCCATCCCTAAAAGTTTGACGTGGGAGTCTTCACAGGAAGGAAGGGGGGAGAGCTGAAATTCTTGTGCAAATTGGACATTGAGAAGGCCGTTGATTATGTAAATAGGGAGTATAATATTGAAGATTAGATTTAAGAATAGGTGGTGGAAGTGGATTAAGTTCTGGATATCAATGGTCAGATTCTCACTCCTAATGAATGGCAGCTCGTGTGAATTTTTATGTAGCTGGGGATGATTGGCACAAGGGTTACTGTTATTTCCCATGCTACCTGTTCTTTTGTGTTAACATATGTAGGTAACTAAGTACGACGTCCATGTTAATAAATAGTTTTTTTGATTGGCATAGTTATCTATAAGGTCGGTAGAGGAGGAAAGTGGACAACTGTCCACATAGGAGAAAGGATTGTAGTTTTTTTGGTTGTAACGAGTTTGAGGGTGAGCATACTTTAGATATGAAATTTTCCTCCCAAAGTTTATGTTGAATTTTAACTCGGGAAATCTGTGGATGGGTTGGTTTTGATTTTTTTTAATAACCGTTGTGTCCGGGTCAATTTGCGTACACCTCGATAATTCCACTTAATACCCGCTATCTCCCACTAGCAATAGGTATTAGGTAACTCTATCCACCAAGGCTAGAACAGATGGGAAGAAATCTCCTAGTGTTTTGTCTCTGTTGAGATTTGAACCTAAGACGTCATGGTGCTCAACCCACTTCACTGACCACTAGGCCACACCTTTGGGTGCGGGTTGATTTTGATTTGAAGATCTACCTTTTAAGGAAAATTTAGCTCACAATGTCCTTTAATTATTTAAATGCCTTTTATATTTCCTTGTTTTTTAGTTAATTTTTTGATGGGGCATAACTCAATTCCTTGCAAGCACAAAACTTACTAAATCTCTTAACGAGTGTGACAGTAAAATAACTAGTCTTGGTTAGCTTTTGAATGATCTTCCTAGAAAAGTCAAACAATGATTCACCTGCCAATTTTTTTTTATTTAAATATAAAATTAGCAAGGACTTCAATGTTGGAATCTTGCGCGGATTCAGTTTCCTCCAGATGGATCTGTTGCCAAAATATGACAGTGCATATATATGTCCGTTTGTGTAACGCAGAGAAGAACCATTCTCACTTTTGCATTTACCAATTACGACTACTGGTTAACATATGTTCGTTTTGAGTCGTGGATCTCAATATAAGAAAGGTAAGTAGCAAATCTTCAAGAGTAAAATCTCACTGTTGTAGATAAGTAATCAGTATTGGTGCGGCGCGCTCAAGCTGGTCTGACACCACCATTAAGAAAAAGAAAAAAGTAATCTGTGTCGGTGGTTGAATTTGCTTTTGCTAAATCATAGCTTGTTCTTTATTATCTTTTTTAGCCTGATTTACAATTTTTCTTCTCTGCTTCTGCTTAAGAAAATAAATAACTCTTGATGCACAGAGTACATGATATTTAATTTGGAAATAATGTTATTGAGAGTTTCTATTGTCTTTGTATATGTGGATGGACTGTAGGTATAGAATGGGTTCCAAAAATGTAACAACTTATTAAAATTGGATGATAGTTTGAGTTTCTCTTTTTGGCAGGTTGATGCTGCAGTTCTCCAGCATCAAAATCAGAAACTAGTACAGCAGTTAGATGCACAGAAGCATAAGTTGCACGATCTTGAAGCCAACATAAAAGAATTAAGGGACAAACAAGCTTCTTATGATGACTTCTTGGTTACATTAAATCGGATCTGGAATCAGGTAAACTTCTTTGCTTATCCTAATAGTTTGGTGTCTGAATGGTCAAAATAGCCTAACTTGTGATTTGCGCTGTTTTGATGGTCTTTTAATAACTCCGTGTAGCTAGATGATGATCTGATTATCCTTGGGGCACGCAGTATGGCGGACCAAATTTCTCTGCAAAGCTTGGATCATCAAGATTATTCTGGAGGTTGGCTGTTAGAAGCATAAGTGAATTTGGGTTTTTGTATTATCCTGAAAGTTCAATGTAGAAAAAATTAGCTCTTTTACATTGTAGTGAGAATAAATCGTTGATTATTTCTAAAAACATTTAGGTTCGATTCCATCATGTCCTGCGGAGGAGATATTCCTGTGTAGGGTGTTGAAAACCAATGCCATTCCAGGCAATGCCAATGATGTATCCATTGTGAATATCAGAGAAGCTCTTGATCTGCGTCACTCTTCTACTCTTGAGTTGATGAAATCATTGGAAAATGCCATTGATGCTCAGCGAATTAAAACCGAAAATTTTGCTCATCTTTTGGAAGGAAAGACATCTGCAGAAGGTTGGGAACCTGGAAAGACCTTGATATTGTCCTACTTTTCTCCCTCCCTCTTTATTCTCGAATTACATTGCAAGTGTTAGTTGCCTTTGGAATTCACTTTGTTACTGTGCTTGTATCAGGTTTAATCTGATTATTTTATCATTGAGATTTTCAGATGCTGTCATTATTCTCAGTAAGATTGATGATATGATGAAAGAAGAGGCTAATTATCTCCATCAAGTGATTGATGTTCTTCATTTGAAACACAAAGAATATGCCGATGCAATTGAAGCTTGTAATCAAAGGCAGTCAGCAGATCAATCTGAGTTAAAACGTCTTGAAGGTATTTGCAACATTTATTTCCATGAACACAGTATGAGATCTCTCAAGTACAAACCGTGTTCTGTGTTTGAGATCAACATCAATATTAAATTCTGGGGGATACATATGTGGCTGTCCGAGTTGGTTTGTAATGTCTAGCGTTAACTATTGTGTATGACGGGATGGATGTGCATATCTTTTTTCATCTCTTACATGTACCTTGTTTAAGATATTTAGTACAGTCAGTATTGGGAATTAGAGTTCAACTTTGATATCAAATTGATTTGTGTTTGATAAATGGATGTTCAAATTGGAGATGTAGTGTTTATCTTAAGGCATGGCATATGATGACATGGATGTGCCCTATCTGTATTGACTAACGTCTTTTGAGAAACTGCCTCTGTCCCTTGAATATGTGTTAATTGGTAATGGTAAAAGGTGAGCTGGAGGAAAGCATGACAGAACTTGAAGACAGCAGAAGGAAACTAGTTACTTTGAAAATGCAGAAAGATGTGGCATGTGGGGGGCAGGAAACAGTTTCAAGTGCAGTTAATGGGAGTATGTCACCTGAGAAGCATACAGACCGAACAAAAGGTGTGCGGGAACTGAAGGAGTCTATAGAAGAGGCAAAGGTACTGTTACTGTTACTCACCCTGGTGTTTTGCCTGCGTGATGATGACCGTTTAGAAATGATGGTTTTGATTGCAGATACTGAAAGAGGACCGCCTCTCTGAGCTTCAAGATGCCCAGGAAGACAATCTACATTTGTCAAAGCAGTTGCAAGATCTTCAGGTTTTCAATAAGTGTTTCCTGTATTCAGTAAAATTTAAAACTTTCTTTGAAATTATATGGTCAAGTGTTTCCATATGTCGTGAGGCTAAATTTTGATTTTCTGCCCGTATAGAATGAACTAAAGGACGATAGATATGTGTATTCATCTCGTGCTTATACCTTATGCAATGATCAACTTCACCATTGGAGTTCTGAGGCAGAACGATACAAAGCTCTGGCAGACTCTCTGCAGGTTAAGCTACATACTTTTCATGTATCATTGTGGTTCGATTGTATTCTAGCATGTTGTCTTTGCTTAAAATTAAATTCAGGCTGACAGGTCTTTCATCGGACGAAGAGAGAAAGAACTGGTTCTAAAAGCAGAGGCTGTGGACGCAGCAAAGAAAGCAGTTGATAACTCCGAGTCAAGGATTGAGGAATTGGAGCATCACATGCACCGATTCATAATTGAAAAGAATGAGCTGGAAATCAAAATGGAAGAAGCTATTCAAGATTCAGGTTGGTGTATTTTCAAGTCAGATTTTTAGTTGGTAAAATTTATGTAATAATCTGCTTAGAGAAGGTTGACTTTTGCAGGAAGGAAAGACATTAAAGAGGAGTTTCAGATAATGGGCTCTGCTTTATCAAAAGAAATAGGAATGATGGAAGCTCAGCTGAATCGTTGGAAGGAGACAGCTCAAGAAGCTGTTTCTTTACGGGAAGAAAGACGGTCACTGGAAACTTCTTTAGGAAGAAAGGTTTAGTCTTGGTGCCGTAATATAATTTATATCTGATTATTTCTTTGTTAATAAATAGGAATTCATTTTCTTAACTAGGAAGAATGGGGTTCGAGTGTTGTTTGGACACTGAAAACTAATGGAGGATCTTTTTCCAACCACAAGAGTGAGCATTTTTTATTTTTTGGTGGTGGGTAGGTATTAGTAAAGTGTCCCTAGTGAAAGGTCAATACTATTAACCCCACTTCTCTGTGGTTTTCCTTGTCCCCTCCCCGAGAACCCCAAAAAAGGGAAACTGAAATAATAGAGAACATCAAGGCAGATTTATTTCAAGTGATTCCGTTTCTAATTCAGAAATATGTTACACTTATTGCTGTAGGTTATTGAGCACAAAGACTTGATCGGTAAATGTGCTCACCAGACTGGAGAGATCCGAACACTAAAGGAACTTGTAAGTTTTTCAGCAGACCTTTGCTTGTTTGTTACCAAGGTCTGTCCTTTTCAGTAAAAGTTATGTGCCCGAGTCTTCTTGCAGGCTGAGAAGATGCAGAGGGACAAACAGGAACGTGAAATCTTTTTGGAAATGCTTGGCCAGCAAATTTATGATAACAGGTATTTTAATTTATTGCACTTCTTAGGATTTAAACTTGTATAAATACTAGTATTGCAGGTTCTAATTATTTTTATTTTCATGTACATAAATTTCAAGTGCACTTGAAGTTTCGACTCATTAGTCTATGTATATATACATGTTAATATGTGTGTGTGTGTTGTGTTATATGTTCTAGTGTTCTTTTGGCTGTCAAATTTTACAAGAAATAAATATTCTGAATTATTGCGTGGGTAATGCAGCGACTTCATGGGAACATATGAGAACCAAACATATGGGATGTTGCCAAGATTGATTTCCATTTTGTCCACGTGCAGTGTTGTAGGAGGGTAGAGGGGCGGGCAGGTTATCCACCAAGTTTTTTTGAATAGCGTGCTGACTGGCTGTTGGGGATTTCTTGGTTATCAAAAAAACGAAGAGAGATTGTTTTCACTTGATTGATTGTCTCTTGTATTCATAATAAAACTTTTGACCTCTTTGCTAGAGATATATCGGAAATTAGAGAGTCAGAGAGAAGAGCTCACTCGCAAGCTGAAATTTTGAGAGCTGCTCTGAATGAACATGATCTGGAATTGAGAGTGAAATCTGCTAATGAAGCTGAGTCTGCTTGTCAGCAGAGGCTTTCTGCTGCTGAGGCAGAAATTGCAGAACTAAGGGCTGAACTGGATGCTTCTGACAGGTTTTTTTCTCTGATACTTGCTTCTAAACTTATGAATTATGATCATTTTCGTGTATTTTTTTGTTTTTCTGAAATGTCTAGAAATGTACTTATTTGAAATGAATCTTGTGCTCCCTTGCAGCACTAACAACAATTGGCCAGTCTATTCAGTGCCTTCTATTCTTTATTGATTCTGTAGTGGTTGTTTGTTGTTACGATATGTGCTTGCATTAAGTTGAATCCATCCTTCAAATGCGCTAGTAGAAGCACCCAAGGTTGTGACCTAGCGGTCAATGAAGTGGGTCTCATGTTCAAATCCCAGAGACAAGAAAACTAGGTGATCTCTTCCTATATGTCTAAGCTTTAATGGACAGAGTTACTAGTACTTGTGCTGGTGGGAGGTAGTAGGTACACTGTGAAATTAGTCAAGATGAGCTAGCTCTGACACCACATTTATTCAGAAATGCACTAGTCTAAAATATATTAGGAAAGTTGTCAAAAATTTCTAATGTAACTGCCGAGGCAGTATGTCATTTGGAGATCCTTGAATAGTTATATGGGCATACTATTGGAAGTAGTTGTGAGGACTCAGATATCTGAGTTTAGGTTTTTTTTTTTTTTTGGTTAACAGAGATCTGAGTTCTTTGCGAAACTCTTTTCTGATCAATATCTATATTAAGGAGCCTGGGAGGAGATAGGAAGAAGAGATTCTGGTGAAGATTGGTGGGAGTTAATCCCAGCTTGCATTTGGTGGACTCTGTGGAAAGAAAGAAATGCAAAATGTTTTGAGGATAAGAGAAACAACATCCGGAAGATTAGAATGAATTGCCTTAGCCTTTTGTATTTCTGGTGTAAACAAAATATGGGGTGTGTGTGTATGTGGGGGCCGGGGGGGGGTATAGAACTTTTTTGTTGATTTCATAGGAAATTTGTGATCACCCATAGGATAGTTTTGACATGCTCTAATGAGATTGTAAGTGACCTATGCTCATCATTTGTTTGATGATGAGCCTATTGTGAATACATAGTTACCTTTATCTAAAAAAAAGGAGCCTGAGATTCAATTAAACCATTTACGACCTGTCTGTGACATGGTCTTGAGTTCTTTATCAACTTAGGTGGAGAATTTTCGTTAGTTGTATGATATATGGTGGTTAGTACACACGATCTATATGGAAGGACAATCTTATTGATGTACTCCTCTTGAGAATGAAGAACAAGATATCTTCTGTTTGGTTTTTCTTAATGCCACCTCAAAAAGAGATTTAGTCATGTAGATCTTCTATTTTAGTGGAATTTATTGACTATTCCATATATCTGCTGCTGGCACACTTCCAAAATTGTTTGAACTGAATGTCGACATGTATCTATATGCTTTATCCAGTGTGCATCATCTACTTAAAATCTTATAATGATCTTCTATGTATTAGAGATACTTCTTTTTATCCTGTAATTGTAAAAGTCTTACTGCAGGGGTGTTTTAGAGCTAACAGAGGCGATAAAAATAAAAGAAGGGGAGGCTGAAACCTATATATCTGAGATTGAGGTACTCACCTGACTGCATTTGTTACAATTTAGTGCATCACTTCTGCCATTCATCTGATCCATTTACATTTTAGACGATTGGTCAAGCCTATGAAGATATGCAGACGCAGAATCAACATCTTCTCCAGCAGTTGGCGGAGAGGGATGATTATAACATAAAGGTCTCTATTATCACATTTCCTTTGATTGCAATGACTGTCCTGTTCCAGTGGCTATTAATAGGAAGTGATGCAGTTGACTTGTATTCATATTTACTTTTGGATTTTAAATGCAGTTAGTTTCTGAGAGCGTGAAGATAAAGCAGGAACAAAGCTTACTTCTCTCTCGGAAGCAGGTATCAACAGCACAACTTCAACAGTCTAAAACATCACTTGAATCTCTGAAAATGAGGATAACTCAAAGTGAAGACCAGGTAGCCTTCTGCCTCTTTTTGTCATGTAAAAGGTCTAATTTGGAATTGTTTGTTTTTCTCAGCAATGATCGTTATGTTGCAGATGAAAGTTCACATTACGGAAGCTTTAAGTTATACCCAAGAAGATAGACATCTTCCACTCCTCCTGGAAACTGCAAAGCGGGAATCGGGAGATGCGGAAAAGGAATTGAAGTGGCTGAGGTCTGCTGCTTTCTCTGCCGAGAAGGAATATGAACAGCTCCACAGAAAGCTGGATGAAATTCAGATGGAACAGGAAACTGAAAGGTGATATTCTTTTTAACCTTAGGTAGTTTTGTTGTCATGCACATTCAGCTGTGTGTTGGAATTTAGCCTGTGCATGCATTTCTCGTTGTAGAATGTTCCTGCTCATGAATTTTTGTCATCTAGGAGTGAGAAAAAGAAGCTTGATGAAGAGCTAGTGGAGTTGAGTAACACTGTTGATGAGTTAACTTCTGCAAGTGGGGAGGCTGCAGTACAAAGACTGCAGGATGAAATCAATGATTCCAAGGCTATTCTCAAATGTGGAGTGTGTCTTGATCGGCCAAAAGAGGTATATTCATGCATTCTTTTTTGCTTCCGAAGTGGGTAATCGTTTCTGGTTGAACACTTTGAAGAATTCAGGAATAAAAGATTCTTGCTTCCATTTAATTTCAAAAAAAAAAAAGATTCTTGCTTCCATGTTTATTTCGTGGGCAATTTGGACATAAAGAAACTATTGACTTTATTGAAAGAAAACATAGCAACATAATAGCCTTAAACAAAATTGTATTTTTTTGCTAGCTTTCAGTGCAACATGGCCTTTGTAAATGATGTATAGATTCCATGTTAGATATGATCATCGGGGATTTTCACACGGCATAATATTTTACGCACCGTCCTAGTGCTGTTTTACTAATTACAAAATATCATTACCTACCAAAAATATAGGTTCCCTTCTCTATTTAGAAATAAAGATTGAAAGCAAGAGCAGGGTGTCTCTCTGGGAGGGTTTATTTTTTGTGAATATTTGGTTTACAGATGCCCGCCTCTTGTTCCATCTAGACTCTAGGAGCAACCTTTTCTATTTATGAAGTTTAAGGCAATATGGGTTTTGTAAAGTTATAAGTGGCTTCTCTTGTAGGTATAGAGTTTGGTTAATTATTTATGAGCTACAAACGACCCCGACCCTGATTTTGTTGTTAAATTATTTGGCAGGTCGTAATCACAAAATGTTATCATCTGTTCTGCAATCCATGCATCCAGAGAAATTTAGAGATCCGTCATCGCAAGTGTCCTGCTTGTGGAACTGCTTTTGGGCAAAGCGACATTCGTTTTGTGAAAATCTGACCAAAACTCGGTCAGCTCGCAGCTCGCTAAACATGTACATTAGCGCGTTCTCTGAGGGTGTCGTTCGATAAGCCTTACTAGGGTCAAGAATTTATACCCATGTGAAGAACCAAGTGCTAGCTTTTGTTCTTACCTTCCCCCCGTTCTTTTGAATTGGGGTGCACCCATTTTTTTCTCTCCCCCCCCCAACCAAATCTCTTTACTCAACCCTTTATATAGTCTTTTTTGCTTCCTTACATCTTCACTTAGCCTCTCTTAATTCTTCTTTCAATTGTATTTGTGGCAAACAGTGTAAAGCTTTATCTTGTAGTGGTTTTATATGGAAGCATCTTTTATGACATTGTTAGAGCAACTAGTAGTTATTTGTTTTTGCTTTTCTTTCTTTTGGCAGGCTTCTATATGTTCCCATTTGCTCTTAAATTTTAGCAAAATATTTGTATAAACAAAGGGCATTGACAGGGTACTGTGATGTATAAAAGTAGCATAATGTAATTTTTGCATTAGAAGAATGAAGTTTCATGTTCTTTGTGGGGAAGTTATGAGATCAGCAATGAGATAGTAGAATTCATAAAGACGATTTCAACTTGTTTGGGATCGAGACGTAGTTGTATATGTTTCTCTTTGTATATATGTACATTTGCACACTTTTGGTATCTGATTTTTGGTGGTCATCTTTTGTTTAGTTCATTGATTGATGAAGTGTTTATGAGAGCAGAAACATTTCATCTCATGAAACAAAAGAAGTCTTTAAGAAAGAGTTAAAAAGCTTTGTGTACTGTTGTGTGTAAATTTTTATGCCATTAAGTCTGATATAATAATTTGAGCTGATCCAAGTGGAAAACGATAGTGAATCTTGAACTTTTAGCAAGTCTGATATAATAATTTGAGCTGCTCCAAGTGGAAATCGATAGTGAAACTTGACCTTATTGCAAGTCTGATATAATAATTTGAGCTGCTCCAAGTGGAAAACGATAGTGAATCTTGAACTTGTCCACCTGTATCCGAACTGGCCTAAAAAATTGATTGGAAGTTAGTGCCTCCCTTTCCATCCAAGTTGGTGAAGCCGCCCTTATATCTAATCACCATTGTAGGGATCAACACCTTCAAAAGCTTCGAAAATTCTTCAATTCTGTTTTGTGAAGCTCAAAAAAGCAACATTGGTCATGGCGAAGCAATGAATATTGGTTAGTAGACTCTTTCGGATGGACTTACAAAGCTAAAAGATTGATGTGGATTATGGTGAGGTTATAGATTTAACACATGAAAAACTGAAAAAATCGTCTAATTTCTGTTGAGCGGCCTCTAAATGCTAAAAAAATAGTGTGGATTATGGTGAGGTTATACATATTGTTTCCCAGGTAATACGGAGGATCCTGTAAAGATTCTGATAAATGAGTGCTAGAAAATCATATCACAAAATTTTTTATAGACGTTACATGAAAAATTGAAAATCGCCTAATCCTTGTTGAGTGGCCCCTAAATGTAAAAAAAATAGTGAGGCTATATGTATTGTTCTCCGAGTCATCACGGATGGTCATGTAAAAGTTTTGGAAAAAAAAAAGTCTCCGAAACTCATATCACCAAAAAATTAATAGACTATAACACATGAAAAACTGTGAAAATTTCCTAATTCATGTTGAATGGCCCCTGAATGCAAAAAACGTAGCATGAATCATGGTGATGCTATATGTATTGTTTTCCAGGTTATTATGGAGGATCCTGTAAAGGTTTTGAAAAAACAGTGCCCGAAAATCATATCACCAAAAAATTCATTGACTAACACACACGAAAAACTAAGAAAATTGCTCAATTCTTGTTGAGTGGCCCTAAATGCTAAAAATGGTGTGGATCATGGTGATTTTATACGTATTGTTCCCCGTGTCATTACAGAGGGTCCCCTAAAGGTTTTGAATAAAAAAAGTGTCTGAAAATCGTATCACCAAAAAATTCGTAGACTAACACACACGAATAACTGAGAAAATTGGCTAATTCTTGTTAGGTGGCCCCTAAATTCTAAAAAAATTACGTTCATTATGGTGAGGCTATACGTATTGTTCCCCCATGTCATCACGGAGTATCCTGTAAAGATTTTGGAAAAAAAGTGTCTAAAAACTATGTCACTAAAAAATTAATAGACTATAACACACACGAAATATTGAGAAAATTTCCTAACTCATGTTGAGTGGCCCCTAAATTTAAAAAAAATAATGTCCATCATAGCGAGGCTATACATATTGTTCCCAAGGTAATCACAGAGGGTCCTGTAAAGATTATGAAAAAAAAGTGTCCGAAAATCATGTCACCAAAAAATTAATAGACTATAACATAATCGAAATATTGAGAAAAATTCCTAATTCCTATTGAGTGGCCTAACTGGCCCCTACATGCTAAAAAAAATGGTGTGAATCATGGTCAGGCTATATGTATTATTCCCCAACCAGAGTTCAAATCCCTGTTGCCACATTTTAGTTTTATTTTTTTATATCTAGAACCCACTTCGTGAAAATCCTGGGTCTGCCACTGTACTGGCCCCTACATGCTAAAAAAAATGGTGTGAATCATGGTCAAGCTATATGTATTATTCCCCATGTCACTACGGAAGTTCTGTAAATGTTTTGGGAAAAAAGTGTCTGAAAATTATACCACCAAAAAAATTGTAGACTAACACACACGAAAAATTAAAAAAATCGATTAATTCCTATTTAGTGGCCCCTATATTTGATTATGGTGAGACTATACATATTGTTCCCTCAGGTCATCACATAGGGTTCTGTAAAGATTTTGGAAAAAAATACCTGAAAATCATATCACCAAAAAATTCGTATACTAACACTCATAAAAAACTGATAAAATCCTTTTTTTTCTTCAATTTCATGGTCCTTAAATGTTAGAAAAAAATGGCATAGATCATATAGAAGATATAGTTATAGTTCACCAGGTCATTGGATGGTCCTAATGGGATACCATATTCATAAAAATTTATGAACTAACATACACGAAAAACTATCGTTTTCTTATCTTTTCTTTTACATATTTTTTTTTCATTCTAAATCATTTTTGTATTTATTCATAAAAATGATTGACCTTATGTTTATCCATACCTTAAAAAAAAATATATCAAATATATCTACTCAGCTCAAAACGTTGTCGTTTTAGCTTCATTTTCTACTTCTGAAGTATCTCTATAAAGAATCACAAAGAACTAAAAATCTTCACTTTCTCAGTTCAATTCACTTTTCAAATCCAATCAAAGCAATGATTCTACAAACTACAATCAATTCTTTCACATTTTCATCTCAACCCATTTCAAGAAACAGTTTTTTCTTTAAAAATCTGACCTTTTTCACCTCCCCTTTGCTACCCAAATCTTTTTTACCCAGTCTTGATTACAAGTTCTATTTGGGTAACAAAAGGAGCTCATTGAGTGTTTCTAGTGCCAAAACTGGGTCAAAAACCATTCATGCTACTTTGCTTGAAGCTCCTGTCTTGTGGGTTGGGAGAGTTTGTGTATTTTATGCTCTATTGAAAGCTGGTTTAGCTGGATCTCCTTCTAATCCTCTTGTTTCAGGTATTCTTGTTTTGTTTTACATCAAGAATGGGATATGGGGTTGTTTTTTTATGTGGGGAAGTATGGTATTTGAGTCTTTAGTTTTGATGTATAATGTGTAAATGAGAAATGGGGTTGTTTTAGTTATTTGGGAAATGTGGTGTTTGAGTCTTTTAGCTTGAGTTGTAATGTGTATATGAGATTGGGTTTGTTTTTTTATGTGTAAAGTTTGAGTCTTTAGCTTGATTTGTTATGTGTTAATGATAAGGGATTGTTTTTGTTTGTATGGGGACTGTGGTTTTTGAGTCTTTTAGCTTGATTTGTTTGTGTTTTGGTTGTAGATTTATTAAAGAATGAGGAGATGGGGTCTGTTTTCTTATAGTGGGAAAGTATGCATTTGAGTCTTAAGCTTTATTTGTAATGTCTTAATGAGAATGAGGTTGTTTTTGTTATTTGGAAACTGTGTTTTTTCAGTCTTTTAGCTTGATTTGTTGTGTGTGTGTTAGTTGTAGATTTATCAAGAATGGGAAATAGGGTTCTTTTCATATGTGGGGAACTATAGTAGTCGAGTCTTTAGCTCGATTTGTAATGTGTTCATGAGAATGATGTCATTTTGTTTATTTAGGATCTGTGGTTTTTGACTCTTTTAGCTTGATTTGTTATGTGTGTTGGTTGTAGATTATCTAGAATGGGAAGGGGGTTGTTTTCTTATGTAGGAAAGTATGGTATTCGAGTCTTTAGCTTGATTTGTAATGTGTTAATGAGAATGAGGTTGTTTTGTTTATTTAGGAACTGTGGTTTTTGAGTCTTTTAGCTTGATTTGTTATGTGCGTTGGTTGTAGATTTATCAAAAATGGGAAATGGGGTTGTTTTCTTATGTAGGAAAGTATGGTATTTGAGTTTTTAGCTAGATTTGAATGTGTTAAATGAGAAATGGGGTTGTTTTGTTTATTTGGGAACTGTGGTGTTTTGAAGCTTTGATTTGTTGTGTTTTGGTTGTAGATTTGGAGACTGATGGGAATGCTGAGTTGGGTTTTGCCAAATGGTTTGAAGAGTTGCAAAGCAAACCAGGTTTGTGGAGTGTTCTTTGGTATATCTACATTTGTTTGTGCTTTAGGAATGAAGGATTATATTATATGAGATGATGTATTGATATGCTGATGAACAACTTTTGACTAGGCTTACTTTTAGAAAATAATAGCTTTGTAGAAAGTTCGAGTTGTTCTGTTTTCCTTGTTTTTGATTTTTGAAGCAAGTGATAAGAGTATTTCTTACATGACGAACTGTTTAATCAATGTTCCAAAGTTACAGACTAGTTTAGGAAAATCATGGTATTAGTAGGACATGAACCATATATCTATCAACTGTGGGGGTTTTAGGTCTCAAGCCTCAACTTTAAATTTTTAAGAGCAACGGCAGATTCAAAATTTTCATTAAGGGAATTCAAAATATAAAGACGTAACCACGTGAAGAAGCCAAGGAGATTCAACATCTAATATATACACATAACTAATAATTTCGACCTTCTATATACAACGTGGATTATAGTTTTGCGCCCCTCTAGCTCTGTCCCTGCCTAAGAGCTTGGTTGCTATTGAATGTATCTCCCTCCTTGGCTCCTCTGTCCGCTCCGCTCACTCCTGTAGAGTAGGTTGGATCAGAGTTACACTAGTTGAGGTTTCAGTAAGCGCTTGTTTCTCCCTCCTAAATTTGAGAAGCTGAGGCAGAAAAAGCCCGATTTCCCGGTGTCATGGATTACCTTTCTATTGCCGTAAGCAACATATTTCCTCTCCATATATTTTAGTATGTATTTTGTGAGGGTGATACAATAACAATAACAACAACATACCCAGTGTAATCCCACAAGTGGGGTCTGAGTAGGGTAGCGTGTATGCAAACCTTACCCCTACCTTGAAAGGTAGAGATTTAGGGTGAGAAGGATGCAAAATATGTGCCAATCTGGAGTTTGTAAGCATTGGTAAGAGAATTGTTTCATTACCCTTGTGTCTTAGACTCTCATCTGCTTTGGATTTTTTGCATGTAACATGAATGGTGCTGCCTCGATTTTACACTTGTCCTGCATTTGCTATATGTTGATAACAATTGTTAGCAAGAATATAGTCAATTTTAGGTTTCAAACTAAATTTTACGTATAAGTTTGAACTCATATTAAGAGCTCATTTACTTAATACATCAAATTTTTTCATAACTTAGTCATTGTTGTTATTTTCTTTGGACAGAATAAGTAGGCTCCTTTCGGAAAATACCGAGAAAATGTGTGAGTTCACCTTGCAGAAACCATTATTCCTTTGTATAGTCTTGTACATTGCCATAGGACTCTAATTTCCTTCTCCTTTTTCACTCTTTGGATGAAAGCAGTTAATTTTGGACTACACATACATATTTGTATTTTTCTCCATTTGCTTTCTTCATTAAATTCCATTGCTTTATTTCTGCTTAAAGCCCCAATGGACCTTAGAGCTTTTTGTGCTTTTCGCCTTAGATAAACTGTCTCATTTACATGTAAATGTAGTTGCTGCGTATCTTCTGTCCAGTTATTCTTTCCGAACACTTCTTCCAAATACAGCCGCTTAGTAAATAGACAAATTTAATGATATTCTTGTTCTTGTATTTACAGAGAAGGAAGCTACTGACAGAAGGAAATTAGTGAGCAAATGGCATCCTACCACTAAGGGGACCTTACGTCGAAATTACAGGGTACCGTCCAAACCTGAAGGAAAGCGCCTTCTCAAGTCCATTGCTTCCTTGCTATCAGATGATGACCACTTCAGAGATGCCACTTCTCACAAGGTAATGAGAGCTTTAAAATTTTCTCGTTTGGCGCTTTCCATAACGAGTATTTCTGAACATGAACATGTATCTTTGTTCAACATCTCCTAAGAAGTATTTACTGTTTTCTCCAGGGTTGTCAGATTAGGAGGGAAAGTGCTCATGGAGAAAGTGTCTGTTGCAACAACGTGCGAGCATTGTTTGATGAGCTCCCTACGCCACACCTTATTGTCGAGATCACTCCTTTCCCTGCTGGTCCTTTAACAGAAACTGACTATGCTAAGGCTGAAAAACTAGAGAGGGTACTTAGATCAGGTCCTTCTGTCTGATTAAAGAGTGTCATGTTTAACTCCTTTTTGTATGTATTTCTTCTTTTTGTACATAAGCAAGAGATATTTGTGCAATGTTCCTACTCTTCAGAATCAAACTAAATCAAGAAAACATCTACTTATGCTTTATTTTCCAGGCTTATCCTTTCTCCCATTTCTCAACTACATGAAAAAGGTGTGAATTCCTATGCCCCTCCTCCATTGCTACTAAAGATCAAAGAACTTGTATGAACATGTTTTCTTCCACATGAAACTTTAGATGGTGCTGAGCCTATGTAATCAGTGGTCTAGTTGGAAGTGCAAAATATATGCTTGGCCACCTGAGCTTCAGTCTGAGTGGCGAGAGAATGATGCATGCTATGTGGTTTAGACACATGTCACGAGTTTGAATTCCATCACAAAAAAAATGAAAGGTATTTTAGTAAAGAATAGTAAAGAAGCAGGTCCATTGTTCGTTGAATTCGTGCACTAACTAGCCATTGGGAAAAAAATTACTCTTAAAAAAAAAGTACAAAAAGAGATTCTCATGAGAAATCCAGCATAGTGAAGATCTTTGAGTACCATCAAAGGAAGTGGTGCAATAGATGAGTTGTTGCTTCCTTAACCAAAAGTTTTGAATTCAAGCTTTGAGTATGAAAAAATCTTTGGTAGGGAGCGCTTCCTCCAAATGGGGCTCTATGCGGCATAAATACATACTAGTCAGGCTCCAACACAGATATCAAATACCAAAGTATAGAAAAAAACAAAACAAAAAAAAGATTTGTTGACTAGCTTCTTCTGCATTACTAGAAGCCTTACTAAACTCATTATCAGTTTTTATTAAAGTGAAAAGATACTTCTGCCATTCAAACGTTGTAGTATTAATTCTAATACAACTTATACAAGCAATATGAGAATAAGAGTGTATCTAAACACTAAAATGCCCATAAATTGAGGAATCTCTATGTTAATCAGTGCATTAGTACTTACTGTGCTAGTGCACCATTCCCTACCCACCCCACATTCCTTCAACAAGTAGGCACCAAGCAAGTATATGCATATCCTAAATACATTGCTTTTCCAGTAATATATATCTATCAGAAAGCATTTTCTGCAATACAAGGAGAATTGAAGGGGTTGGTTACTGTCTCTATGACCCCCAATAAGAAAAATTGCATATTAAGCATTATCACTGATGCATGGATAGCATAGAATTTTACTTTAAGGCTTTAGAGGGGGTGGGGGGTGGGGGGTGGGATCAACATGAAGGTCTATAGTTTGAATCATTTAACTCCAACAGAGGCCATCAAGTCTTCATATTCAGGATCGTTCTCTTGTTTTTCTGCCATTGCTGGATTACCACCAGGATGAGGATGTCGAGGGACAGATGTGGGCGAGAAGGGGTCATATATTTGATGTGCTCCAGAGGAGCCAGAGGCAGGCCTACCATGACGGAAGAAGACATTGTTGGGAGCCTCAAAGTTCTGTGGTCTAAGCATGGCATTTGGATTATTTTGCTGAAGAGGCATGGAGTTCACTCTAGGAGGGAAGGAACCTACATGATTTGGAGCTGGCCTAAAGTTCATAGGTTGCATTTGAGGGACAGTAGGTGAAGCTATACCCTGATTTGAAAATGTCGGATGCCTAAATTGAGGGAGAGGGCCAGCAGGTCCTCGAGCAAAGTCAAGTGACATAGGTGGTCCTGGCTGACTAATCTGATTGCTTAATTGGGGTCTTTGAAATCCTTGAATGACAAGTGGGGGATTTGGATTGTCTATTGCTGGTCGTAGATGAGGGCGCATCATTTGGTTTGAAGGTGAAAGTTCCTGAGATCCAAATTGACTAATTAGCCTGGAAGCTGCTGGATTCTGTGAATGGTGAGGCTGGAATGTAAAATCGCTATTGGGCTGCAGTGGATTTGGAGTTACAAAGGAAGTAGGTCTCATAGAATTAATATTAAGAGAACTTACAGGAACTGGATTAGGTGAGAGATTTGGATTGATTGGTTGTCCACTAGACACAGAGTGGTTCAAGAAATGTGCAGGGGTAGATCCTGAAGATGGACGCAATGGAGGAGGCATATGTGCTGATGGAGATGGTCCAGATGATTGGGGTGCTAAATTATGGCCCTGGAAAACATCTATATGCGGAGCTGCAGAGACACCCATTGGGCGTGAAGCAAGATGATGACTTCCTTGAGGGGAAACTGTGGGGGGAGCCATGGCAATCATGTTGCTTGGACCTTGACCTGTCTGGTTGTTCCATGGTGACTGTGACCATCCAGGGGAGTTTCCAGCTGGGGTCAATGGTCGGTCTGGATATGCTGTAGGAGGGACAGACTGAGGTAATGCAGACATTACTGGTCTGACAACTTGCGGAAACCCTGTTGGACTCGGTTGGCCCTGAGAAAATTGAGGCAGAGTCATATTGGATTGAGGTGGTGTAGACCCTAAAGATGGTATAGGATGTCTAAGTCCACCAATTTGTCCAAAATGAGAGGAAGGCATATATGGCTGCTGCATTAGTGGTGCCTGTGGGCTAGAGTGAACAAAAGGGTTTCGAGGAACTGAACCAAAGCCATCTTGCATACCATGTGGCGGACCAAAGGGTGAGGATGTATTTGACAAGTTGGTAGGTGACGGTGATACTTGGTGAGTGTTGCTGACCAGGGATGCTGAAGAAATCCCGGAGTTAGCGGGTCCTGGAAATCGAGGTACAGGATTCTGAGATGTCGGTCCAGGAAACCACTGCCCTTGGTATGGCTGAAAATGACTTTGAAGTTGAGCAGGTTGTGCTCCAAAACCTGGTTGAGCCATCCCTTGATTTACTACAGGAGGAGGAGTCGGGCCAGGTGTTGCTTCAACGGAAATAGTTTCTCCATCACCTGAGGCTTTTGTGGTTGTGGCCGCAGGAGTCATCTGAGAACCAAATGGAACACTTAACTTTATGACACATACACCAAAAAAAAGAGAAACTGAATTGCCGCATTGGTATTCACAGTAACACCAAGTAAAACACCATACTACTGTGTACTTACTGAAGCTGGGGTAACCAGAAGTTCAATTAAAGCAACTGCAGCATCAACCTTTTCATATGTCTCCGCTGATACTTGGACATGCATTTCCTCATAAGCACCAGAGTCATTTTCACCAGAAGTAACTTCTACCTGGGGACAGATTAAAACACCCGTCAATTTTCAAGAAATCAAGGTGAACAATAGGTATATGTCGTTGCAGCTCATACAGGAGACTTGACAATCCAGACATGATAATCTAATACTAGGAGCAAGTAGAACATAGATTGCATATAAACTACAGTTTATAGGTGTCTCCAGCCTAGTCTACACAACATACCCAGCGTGATCCCATAAATAAGGCCTGGGGAGGATGGGGTGTACGCAGACCTTACCCCTACCTTGGAAAGGTAGAGAGACTTTCGGATAAGACCTTCGGCTCGAGAAAAGCATTCAAAACAGGTTTGAAAAATACCAAGAATGCAAAGCTATAACCAGAGTATTGGTCATCAGCAATTGTACAATTAGATGACACACTGAATATAAATATACACGATGGATTGAATTAGGGACTTTACCTTCTCTCCAGTATCTGCTTTAATAACATAAACCTTTACTTGAGCTCCAGTTTCCTGGTTTTCAGTACAATCAGAAACACTCAATATTGACCAGGAACACTATTTTACTATGCAATCAACTAAAATAAGTAGAACTCCAAGGTCTTGGATGCTAGAAACAATTACCTTTTCCAGTTGCTTATGAGCAGGACCAAAAATCAAACCAATGAAATTGTACCCGGGATGTTCTTTGATCTGCATTGAGAACAAATAGAGATGCCTCATGAGGATCTATCACTTCCCCTTTTGGTGAAAATACGGATAGTCTTACTCCGTGTCAGTAACAGATGGAATAATGTCATGTCTCTTGATTAATATTTAATATGCTTTCAGATTTTTGTGCTTGTATCATACAGCTTGACCTTCTAAAAGGACAACAAAGTCAGTAATAAAATAATGTCATGGCTCTTAATTACTATATCTTCTACAGTTTTAAGTTTGTGTCATATAGCTTGACCTTAAAAAAGTACAAAAAATTATGCAAATAATAAGGCCAAATAAGAGGTCAGACAGTTTCCATCTGCATGATTTACATTGAAGAACTCGCAGGAGTCACTTAAAGATGAATCAAAAAATGAAATCATTTATAGGTAGCATTTTAGGAATATATCACAATAGTTCTACACTATCTGGATACCGATTACAGGTTACAGTTTGAAATACACAAGCACGTGAGATGCTTAGCCAGGTGAATACCCTGTACTAAACTTGAGCTAAATTTCCCTGTTAAACAGTAAGACATGGCTTACAACTAAATCGAATCATTAAAACCCTTCAACATAAACTAAGAAACACCTAGCTCGTGGCAGTCAGAATCAGTATATAATAAAAGACATGACAATGAATAAGTGCACATCTGCCATTTCATATCTAAACCTGCTCTTTTTTGCTGTGGGAGCGTGGATTGGTGGGAGGAGAAGGACAACTAATAACAATTTTCTCCACAAGTCTCCCATTAATCCATAGTTTGTCTAACTTGTTTTGCAAGGCCAGGCCATCATTCTCATTGATATCAACACATATTCAAGTTTTACAAGAATGTAAATGTAGTTAATAGAGTAGTAATTTTAAGCCAAGGAGAAGTGTAATCCAATGCAATACAGATGATCCTTAATCTTGTTCCAGTTGATAAGAATTCTAAAATTTTAAGAATCAACACACAGAACCCAACGGGAGAACTATTGGAACGAGAAAAAAAGAGAAAGAGCACAAAGTGCCAGAAAACTGGGTTTAACTTACAGGTACTGGAATTTTTGCCTCCTTTGGTACAGGCTTATAACCAGCAGGTGGCTTATAACTGGGATTCAGTTTTAGAATCTCCCCTGGACATGAATAAAAACAGATAAGATGTATGGTGTATTTGATAATGGAAGAGTAAAAGTCAGTGACTCGAGGGATCAATCATAACATACCAATGATTTCCCGTCTTTCAAGTTCCAGTGATCTCACATTCTACATCCACAGAAGACGTCAGCTTTAGAAGCTAACCCAAGCAAAATTTGCAACTAAAAATCTTAATGATTTAATTTACCTCATCATTAGGTTGATGATCTGAAGACTCGTGATCTTTAGCAGGAGAGGCTAATAATGAGTCTTTGCTGCCTTCTCCCTCCAAACTCCTAGAATTCAGTAGTTGTGTTATTTGATCCACACGACTCTGCCCAAAATTTGTAAGGCAGCAATATCACTTAGTGGCACCTGGAGTAGGAAATTAATAAAAGCAATTCACACAGAATTACACTGTCTTTTAGGACCCAATGGACAAAGGGAAATTATTAACGGCCACTGAGCCATACTCCATCAATATAATTGAGGCCATAAATGCGTGGAAAACGTTTTTTCTTGGGGGGAAGTTGATAGAGTTATGAAGTTCTTCAAGAAACGATCAAACTGAGAAGAACAAGAAAACCATGGATGATTCTCATGTCGCACAAATTTATGTGAATGTAATTACAGTTTATTTCTATGTTACTCGAACTACCCTAAAATGTTGCCGCACCCATGTCAAGTCCTCCAAAAATGCACTACTTTTGAAGGATCTGCCATGCACCCGTCAACATTTTTGAGGAGTACGAGCAACATACTTTATTTTCAGCTGTTTGATCAATGTAACATAATATGTATACATATTGCATATATACGCATGTAAATGTGCAGTTACGCATAACCTAACATGGTAAAACAAAACTTATTACTGTTTTGGAGTTCCCTTGTCCATGTTGTGGATTTCTAAAAGAAAGGCATGCCCTGTTACGATTCTCTGTATCTATATGAGAAACACATGCATAGATGTAATATTAAGGATCACAAAACATAAAGCACAAAAAAGGTTGTGTAATCTCAACACGTCCCTACGATGTTGAGTTTGGAACTAATGTCAGATTGTTTTCTTCTGATGAAGAATATAAAGGTCATTTCTTCCTGATGCAAGAAATTATAAAGGAACTTAAAAACAAAAAACTAGAAAATAAAATGTTCTTTTAATAAAGTATTACTTTCAATATATCTCTCAATTTCAAGAAAAAGCTTAAAAAAGAAGAGAAAATGTAAATAGGTATATATTGCAAAGCATTCTAAAGCACCTGATATGCCAATGCTCTTGCTTTTCTGACAGTAGTATCCTGTGTGAGATCAGGACCCCATTTGGTTTTCCTTTGCACCTGTTTAGTGCTATCTTCATTTACAGAATCACTAGCTCCTTTTTTTCCTACTCGAAATACCGGAACCAATGAACCTGCTAACTTGTTTTTTGGTATCACAAATCCAGTTTTATTGGCAAACATAGAGATCTTTGGGCCACTCAATGGTGTTGCAGATGAAGCAGCCGTCTGAATGTGGCTAGATGCCTGCTCAAGTTTTGTGCTCATGTTTACTTTTAAGAACACCCAGTACTCGGTATATTAACACCTGCATCAAGAAATTAATCCAATGTGATTCATAGCCAATTGAAAACAAACAAATGATTCAAGAAAAAAAACATTAAAATCTAAGTAACCTATCTAATATTTTATCCGATTCTGACAGTAAGTAATTAAACCATTAGATAGCTAAATCAACAGAGATTAGTTCAACAGCTCACAGATACAAAACATAGGCAGCTATTTGAAACTCCACCCAATACCACCAAATTAAGCTAGTAAAAGCTACATTATAACTACTACTTGTGCTATTACTACATGTACAAGGAAAAGCATTTCCCCTTGTAGCAGATAGATATTACAACATACAAGAGCTCTTTATCCTTTTACAACATAAGGAGCTCTTTACGATTCCGTAGCTAGTAAATCTTTAAGAAAAACCAACTAAAATGAATGAGGCAGGTCATCAGTACACTTTGGGCCTTAATGAATCTTCCATAAGCTTTACCTAGAGCACATAACTGCCACAATATAGGCAAAGTCAGGAGAATAAGAAACCTGAACAGACCACTAATTAATGGACCAAGTGAAGTGCATCAAGGACGGGAATGGAGAACTATTACATGTTGTTTCATTTGTTTTGTTTATCTTGCTATTTTGCTGCCAGTTTTTTTCTTTCTATCATGCTTAGATTACATATGTTTTGAGCCGAGGGTCTACCGTAAATAGTCTCTCTACCCCACAAAGTTGTGGGCTAGGGTAAGGTCTACGTACATTCTACCCTTTCAAGGCCGACTTGTGGGATTAACATTGGGAATATTGTTGTTTTCAGGTCTAAGCCTTGACACCTCTTATAACTTGTATATATATATATTCTTTGTTTATAACTCAAAGACCTAAGTTCAAGCTGAAATACGAATAATGTGCACACCAATTCTCCGCCAATCTTCACAATCTTGTTTCTTCAGATGCATTTTTTAAAAACAGAAAAATGCCTTTTGTACAGCTTAGTTCCTGATCAACTTGCGTTGCTATGGATTCAATATACATGAGCTTACAATGATGATGATGTTTGAATACATAGTATGCACATAACTAATTACAGAATTGAGAATTCTATGACCCCTGATTTTCTACTATAACTGCTATAAAACCCTAACTTCAGAAGATGCTCCTAAACAGACATAAAACTCAAAACAAACATTTAAAACTGTGAACACCCTTATGCCAGTGTTATTGCATGTATGGCCAAGTACTTTTGAAGATTAACTGTTTGTGTTTGGGAAATTAATTTGAAAAGCACTTTTGTCAATATAAGAGCAACAATTTGTGCTTGTCCAAGGTACCAAAAGTGCTTCTTCCAGGGAAGAACCATTTTTTTTTCAGCTTCTACTACTAGTCACAAACACTGACTTTTCCATTAAAAGCTTGGCCAAACATCTCAACTCTCTAAAATAAGCACTTCAAAGAAGAAACTTTTGGCTTCCCAGAAGCTTGGCCAAACATGCTATAAATCTAGTGTGCATACATAGTTCTTTTTTTGTTTTGTTTTCTTTTTCCCCAAAGGTTACATAGCATACAACTCTTCATGAACAGATGGGGATATTAAGATACTGTATCATCCATCAACTAACCCCCATCAAACAGATTGTAATATCACAAACTGAATTTCCCACTTTCCTCAAACATAAATGAAACAAAATCCACAACATTAAAACTTTCATTTTCCATACCAAACCCCCAAACCATTTCACACAGAAAGGAAACAACATATTTTGGAATAGCACAAGAACAATAACAACATACCCCGTGTAATCTGGAGAGGGTAGAGTGTAAGAAGATCTTACCCCAACCTCATGGAGATAGAGAGGTTGTTTCCGAAACACCCTCGAACAAGTGCAGCAAATCAAAGTATTTATGAAAAAAGGGAATACGGCAGTGAAGAAAGCACTACAGAGCATTCAGAAAAAAGAAACAAAACAACAGCGAAATAATGTGGTAATAGAAACACAATAGCTAACAAATGGTAACAGATATCAGAAGCAAGAAACTACATGTATAACACTAACACTACGCCAGATACAGTGCTCCCAGACTCCCACCAAGCCTAATCCCACCATAACGCAAGTCAAAGCTCAACTACCTACTACTCTTCTACCCTAATCCACTACCTCCATACTCTCTTATCTAAAGTCATGTCCTCAGTAAGTCAAAGCTGAATAGCACAAGAACAAAGGGGCAAAAATTGAATCTTGATTTTACAAAAAAAAAAAAAAGGAAGAAAAATATAGACAACAACAAACCACCCATAACCAAAGAAAACCTTAAATATCAAAAACCCATGTCACATTTTTACTAAGAAAGAGAAATACAAAACCTCAAAAGAATCACTTGAACTGAACTTATCCACTTTCCACTTTCCTCAACCACATAGGAAGCAAAATCTACAACATCCAAACCTTCATTTTTACAAAATCAAACTACCAAACCATTTCACACAGAAAGAAAACAGCAACATTTAACAACAGCACAAGAACAAAAAATTGAATCTTGAAACGTATAACAACAAAACCACCCATAACCCCTCATAAAAAACCTTAAATCTGGCAACCCCATGTCATTTTTTGCACCAAAACGCAGGAAAAAACACATTTTTTACCGAGAGAATCGCTAGAAATGTACTCTGAGGATTTCGGAAGAATCTTGTATGAGAATTGAAGCTTGAATGATTGATGAGTAACGAGCAAAGAACTTTGGGTTTTTTGGGGTTAATGGAAGAGGGTTTATGATTCTATTGGTCCATTTTTTATTTTATTTTTTATAATATGGTGTTCGGGTCAGCTTGAGCACATCTCGATTAATTTCATATGATATATGTCATCTTTCACGAGCAACACGTACTAGATTGCTTAAATATGGATAAAGATTTTGTCGGAGTGGTAACTATAGTTTGATTTCGTGGTACTTTTCGATTAGAATCTAAATTTAGTCACGCCACAAAGCAAATATTGAACATGAAATGGAAAATTAAAAATATTAGTCTCGTGACTCTCATCCAATTTTTCAAATATAATAGACAATTACCTTTATGTGAATTTTTTTTCTCGAATTTTGATTTAATCGTGGCTCAATGAGAATATCAAACACCACATGAAAAACAAATATTATCCAAACATAATTAACAATTCCTACGTTAGAAAAGGTTTTATTGTCCTTCAAAATGGCTCAATTGGTTTGAAAGTTGATGGAACTAATCCTCTCTCAATGACCATTGAATCGAGTTTATAGCATAAAACTTGCCTAGTGCAACTCAAAAATCTATTCAAGTTGGACTCCAATACATACGGTATGCCGATTACCATATTAAAAGGAGGAAAAAAATGAATATTGTCCGAAGAATTAACAATCTTTTTTTCCTTATAAAAATCAATTGACATATTTTAGGATAATGTCAAATTTACATCTATTTATATTTATTTATCTATCAATCCATTAGTTTTTTATCCTATTCGATTTTTCCTTTTAATTTTCTTCAAATAGTTTAACTTATTCAAAAAAAATAAAAATTGTCGAACTGTGGATACTTTTTCGATAACATTTATGACACTACAAATGCAAAATGGGTGAATGTGTTGTTTTAAAAGTAAAAAGATCATTATAACCATAAATTATACGAACATATAGCCCGAAGCATCCCGTGTTCAAGTGGACAAGTAGGGAAGAAGAGTCACACCCCAAAATGGTGAAATGTAGACCATCTGCACTAACAAAAGCATATGTGATTCCACGACTTTAGCTCGTGACTTATAAGTTATACGGAGATAATTTTACCATTGCTCTGTCCGGAGTCCTCTTCATTTCTGAAAAAGTCATGGGAAAAAAATTGAACCTCATCAAATAATTCAGTGCACAAGTATCAAACGTTTACAAAGGGTCCATGAAGCCTGAAGGGCCGGGTCCAAAGGAATGTGATATTAGATAGTCTGCCCTGATACAAGCATCAATAACTAATTTCACGGCTAAAACATGTGACGTATGACTAATACGGAAACAACTTTATAGTTACAAACTGTTACATATGCAAAGCAAAATTGGTTTTGCTACATTCATGTTGTCTATTGAATCATTCTAGTTCAAGTAAAATCAGAACATTATGTCAAAGCGGAGAGTTTCAAGGTTTGAATGCGAAGAAAGCAAACTGTTCAACCAGTATCCACACCTCTACTCTACGTTTATCGTCAAAACTGGAATAGCTGATGCTGCTGCGAGGTAGCCATCGGATATGATACTTCAAAAAAGGAGGAGATTATGGTGAATCAGACAAAAAGAAAGTTCAGCTTTAACTTACCACGCGTCTCAGGTGAAGGGGTAAAAATTAGAGAAGAGCAAACTGCCGAGCAAGATGTAAGCTGCACAATATGTCCAAATAATGTATCCCCATCTCTTGCTGAGATGAGGAGATGTCATGACATATGAGCCAAACCAGTAGAGAGGAGGGCTGGCAGATAAGAATCGTGTTGAAACCTGTCAAAGTGATCGGAAGAGAGTCAGATATAGGTTTTGCCCAGGGTGTTTATCTAGGTTGACAAACTTCCTAACTTAAGATGAAACTAAAACTTTCAATCAACTTGATTCAGATTCTCATACTCAGAAGGCAGAGTTGATGCACAAAAGGAAAAAGTGGAGAAGGTAGATAATCATTTCGTGCCAGAGGACAATGTGAGCACGAAAGTATAAACCATGTCCGTTACCAGAACATGAAAGAAGTTCATCAGCTGAAGAACTGAAGACTCCCCAGAAGAAGTTAAGTCTGTGTTTAGATTACAAGAACTTTCCCCACTTTCATTCCCACACAAAATCTTCTAATTTCAAATAATTCAAGATTTTGCAGAACTAGGAAGTTAAGTCTGGGTTGGGCAAATTGGAAATACTAAAGGGAAAGATTCAGTTCAATAATAGTTATCCCACCATTAAACCAAAAGCTAGGAAAATTCACTCCTAGTAATCACGTCACTTTAGAAAAAGGGAAAGAGGTCAGCCAACCTGTACGTGCATGACAAAAAAAGCCGTTGCAACCATGAACACAAGGTGTAGAATGAAGGGAACAAGAATAATTGGTTTCAATCCTGGATTCTCTGATGCTTCATCCTCTGATGGCTGTACCACATAGTTCTCTTCTCTCACAGCTGGTTTTCGCCGTCTAAGAAAGTCACCTATCAAAAGTGAAGTAAACAATGAGCATTGTCTTCACATTACAAAATTTTGAAATTGAGTCCCTATAAGAATGTGATGAAACATATAACCACTCATTTTTATATGAGTTGGAAAGAAATAAAATCATATTAATTCACAGATAACAATGTACATCTCATCACAAAGTGCAGCAACATGAACAAGGAGATCAGCAGAGCAAGGATTAGAAGTTTAAATGGAATGCAAACATTGAAAGGAAATGCGAGACAAGGAAAACTATAAGTGTGGGCAAGTGTATCTGAATTCAATGCAAAACCTCACACAACATTCAAAATGATCAATCATAAGCAGAGTACCATCTTTGTTATACCAGCTAGTAAAATTTAGCAGTGGCCATTTACTAGACCAGAAAATTGATGGTCTGTCGTTAGTTGTAATCAGAAAAAAACAGAAACTTCCTCTCGTACATGATACATACATCTTATGGAAATGACTTACGTATCAAGTTATACCTTGCCCGGCATCAGATCTGTTTTCCGATGGAAAGCCAACACTCTTGGATCCTGCACTTCTCCCAAGAGGCATGGATGAAGTAGCACTTTCTTTATTTGGAGAGGATTCCCGAAAACCAAGTGAGACAAAAACCTCAGGCCATAGCTTCACATAATGTATGATTGTGCAGAGTGCAAGAGATAATATTGGAGATGCAAGAACAAAGTTTGGAATTTGTTTTACTTGAAAATACTTTAAGAAACCCACTCCCCTGAGAAAGAAGAAACAGCAAAGTCAGCCTCTGCTCTTGGCGGCAATCAACATTGAGTTTAGCTGAGGATACTGGTGTTTTACTTTTACTTTTTCTACTCACTCTTTTCTTTTTATCCTTTATTTTTTTGGTAATGAGAATGATATCTATCAATAAGGACTATCTTGGGTATCACAAATCAGTTAAAGCACCAATGAGCGTTTACATGAACCTATTTCCCGTGAGTACTGTCTGGCATCACCTTTCCTCACCAAAGAAATTAAACACAGCTACACACAGTGAGAACTGGTGATCACTTGGCCTGACCAATCACCAATGAGAAATTTTCCTTTCTAGATAAATGTTCATTGAGGTCGTAGGGGCCCACCAGATCCCCACCCAAGTGGCATCTCATTTCAAATAGATTGCGAAAAGTTAAAATTCAACCATACCTTAAAGAATTTTTCTGCACAAAATTTAACAGAAAAAGAAAACATCATAAAATAATATGATATAAATGGCTAAAAGTGGGAGATTGGAATGTGAGGGAAAGATCAAAGTAGCTTTTAAGCCATTGTCTTTATAAATTATTAACAGAGAATATAGAGGCAACGATGGTCTAAACCTTGATTAGTTATTCTAGGGTATTATGACTTTCAGAGAAGTACAAGAAATAAAAAATTGTTCTGGTATTAATCTTAAAAAGAAAACAATCGTACACCCAAAGTTTCAGCACAATAAGATCAAATGTAATTTAATATCTACCAGATCAAATTTAATGTGGAAGAGGCAATGAGAGTTTGAAAAGGTAGAAAAGGTACCAACATACCAATAACGACTTTGAATATAGTTGTAGAGTAAAGGAAGTCTTGCCTTGCACCAAGGCCTCATTTCATCTGAAGTGCCTCTCCCACACATATTGTAGTAACCATATGCTTGAAAAGCAATAAATGGGGAAATGATAAATAGGCTACGCAAAGCCCCAGAAAGAAGAACTAGCAAGGTCCCCTGGCAACATGTGGAAGATTTTGCCTGAGTAATCTTAAACAACCAAAACATAACTTTCTCTAAAGCTATATGCTATATTTATCGAATTCCGAGAACAATTGATGCTCAAACAAATGATAGTTCATAATCATGAAAACTACGAAGTAAACATAACGCAAGCCACAGAATTCAACAATTTATGTTCTTTTAACAATCAAATATAAAATGCTAGAACAGTCAAACTAACAACTTAAACACCCATCTCCAGTCAAATAGTGCAACATAATATGGGAAGGAGGCATTATGTAAGGAGTGTGGAACTCCAAAACAACTTTGCTCAACCACCATTAAGTTTACAGAGATGAGATTTAATAAGAGTATTGGTGATAAGCCATTTCAGATCAAAAGAAGAAAACTGATCTATGGAAAGGAGAGGGATAGGAGTAGTAAGGCGTTTGAGTTCGAAAAATATTTGAGGGAGATAATGAGAGGAATAAAGTGGGTGGAGATGGAGGAATTGGAGCAAAAGCATGTACAAAATAAGGAATTAATCTAAATATTAATTCCTTTCCAATTTGTCCTTTGGCCAACAAAATGAGCAAATTTGATATGGCATAGTCTCTCTCCTCTGCCTCTTTTTTTTTTTAATTTTATATATCTCACATTAGAAGCCTCTTGGTCTCAAAGTTGACCTTCTTGAGGTTAGAGCAATAACCGTAAGCCTACTTTAAAAATCATGGTTGAAAAGCCTGACAGGCTCATCTGGTTTTGTTTCATGGATGATCCAACCCTGCCCCACTTGAGCCATCATACATGAGTGTATTTTGTTACCACTCATGGCATGCCAAGTTAAATAGAACTCCCTGAAGCTCCTTGGGAAGTAGTGACTGCAGCTTTCGCAAACTCACAGTGAACAGTGCAGCTCAATTAAGTATGAGCCTCGGCAACTTCTTCATATAGTGAGAACAATCATACCGTACTAAGCACTATCCAGAAAAAAAATTGCATTGGTCAAAGGAAGAACAGCAACAGAACAAAACTTACACCAGCATTTTTTCTAACAAAAGCTGCTTTATAGGACCTATGCATTGTCTGGAAACAAATATAGCCAGCAATAAGCACTCCGTTCGACCTTGCAAATCCAGTGAGAGCAAGACAAAGTGTTGCAATGTTATTTGAACCCCTCATGAGATAATACAATCCTCCAATGGAACACAAAGCATACATACTCTCAGTATATCTGTGAACAGACAGCACAGAACATACTCATATGCAAGTCATCATAATATGAGGCGAATGCACGGCAAGACAAAAGAAAATACATTGATGAGTAGAAGATGGAGGCGGGATTAAGGCAAAACAATATTGTAGCTCTGAATGCCACCTCGGAATCCTTCAAGATAATAGCTGAGAGCCTGTGAACCAATAACATAAAGAATGATAAGCAGATTTAAAAAAGTAAATAAATTCATAAATGTGCAAAGACAGTGTGAATCTAATGTACTATATAAGAATGAATATAACATATCATCTAATGTATTATATAAGAATGAATATAACATATCATTATGAATATGTAAGTATCAATTGTGTAGTTTGTGCAAACAAGTGGAGAATAACTATCCAGGAACCATCAAAGGACTATGAGATAGCTCAATTAACACACTTGGCCTTCAAATCATCTCAAAAACTGGCACAACTTCCAAAAATTCATATTTGAGTTTAGTTTAAATCACAATGGTGCCATGATGTTCTCCACAAACAAAATTTCATATAAACTACCCTATCAATTTCAAACTAACTTGAATGAACATTTAAGTTAGAGACATCAATCACTCCAGTCAAATCTTCTAAATGAATGTTATATGAAAGCGTTACACCAAATAACCCAAATAGAAAATCAAGAACAATGAAACAGCTGAGCAGGGCGAAGCCATGTACAAATAAAAAGTGTTCTTGCCATATTATGCAAAGGACTTCTGAATCCAAAATTCAAATACATCATTCATGAGCTTATAGCTTTGAAGTTTGAGAAATTTCTCATGATTGCTGCTTCAATTTCAAGACACTTTATGGGTTTGCCCACTGCAAGCCATTTTTCACTTTTCCTCGGAATGCCCAAAAAGAAAAATCCTTTCATTATGTGATGTTCACACACCAAAATAAAAGGTCAATTATACAGAGATTTAACCAGGAAAACATGAAAATTTACAGTATTTGAGCTATTGCAGATGTTAAATAATTCAGATTATTGAAAACTAAATTGATATTATACTTTTGAAGATATCCCAAAGCATAGCTTTTGACTTATAAAGACCATCCTTGATGTTCTGGAAAATCAGTGATAGCGAGATAGAACTAATTGTGGTATCAATAAGGGTCTTAAATACAAGTGTCAGGAGATCTTTCATTTTCATGTTTCAATGGTCAACAATATCTCTTCAAAGTCATAAACTGACTCCACAGTCAAAATTCTACATACTGCAAAATAGTTACATGTTTAGTGTCAATCCAACTTATCAACTTTCATGCACTAATGTGGAAATTTTAAGATTCCTTGCTATCCAATTCTTGAGATGTTGTGGCATTGATACTCAATTTAAACCTTGAAGTTTCTCCACATGACAGAAGAAGGAACATACTTTCATAAAGAAGTAATACTTACAAAAACAAAATTGGACATTACCTGTAAAGATAAAAAGAAGCCAAAACAAATGCAAAGTTATTGAGCACATAACCAGATAATCCGAGAACAGCTCTCTGTCCAATAAAAGGTATCAATGGGGCAAACACTGCAAAAACAAACATTCAAGAACTTTTTTCAATCTAAGAAGTAACAATTGCAAAAAAAAAAAAAATGCTGACTTCACCACGAAAACAGGAAAAGGAAAAATACCTGCACAATGAACATCATTCTTAATGAGCAAGATACAACTTTTGAAGCATGACATGTAACAGATCAGTGATTTCACAGTTTATCTATATCTATACTGTAAAATGTCAATCCTGTTGTTCTTTATCAAAAAAAAAAATGTCAATCCTGTTGTTTACATAGTCTCTATTAGAACCTTTATGCGTAGCGGAATAGTGACACCATGTTTATCTATATCTCTATCATGAAATGTCTCTCTCTACCTTCCAAGATAGGGGTAAAGTCTGTATACACCTACTCTCTCCAGACCCCACTAGTGGGATTACACAACGTATGTTGATTACTATGAAACGTCAATCCTGTAGCTAAGTAGCTTACATAGTCTCTCTTAGCGCCTGTTTGGGAGCACGGCTGCTTTCAAGTAGTGCTTTTTCAAGTGATGTTTCTAAAAGTATTAGTACTTTTTAAAAGTCTTCGTAAGCACTTCTTCAATAAGCATTTGATGCAATTAGCTCACAAAGCATTTTAAATTTTTGCATTCACAAAAACAACCATAAAGTACACATTTTTTTATGCTTCAATGCGATAACAAATACAAATTGCCTTTTGGAACAACTCGAGGAGGAGGTAGAGAGGTTGTTTCGGAAAGAACCTCAGCTCGAGTAACACACACCAAGAGCAGCTAAAACGAAAATACAGAAGTATGCTTATGATAAAAATGCGTGCATGCTTATAAATTATAATATGCCAGTATTATTAATCCACAAAATGATTAAAAAAAAGAGAATTACCGGTTCGTGAAAGCAAAGAGATGCAAATCGGAATCAGAGGAAAAAAGGCGTAGTTCTGTTCATACTCATATCCACACTGCGCAATTCGTACAAAGTACACACTATCCCAAACAATGCTATCCTCGATCACCGATGCCAATCGCGGGAGGAGAACCGGCGGCGAGTCGGATTTCAAGTAAGAATTTGAACCGGAAAACAAACCGATAATGGACGTGGTGTTGGAGAGGCAGCTAGGGTTTATAGAAGCGGAGGTATCGTAAGGGCTGAGCAGTGATCTCCATAGAACTATTAGGGAGATTAAGACGAGCCTTGAAATGACGGCGTATTTGAGAACAAGACGAGTGTGGTTATAATGGAGATCGGCGGTGGATTTTCCGGCCATTTTCCCCGGCGGCGGAGAAAGAAGGTTAACGGCGGCTTTAACTCGTCGGAGAATTTAGGACGGCGATTGTGTATAATTATGCTAAACGGAAAATTGAAATGTTAGTTAAGCAAATATAATTTTCCTTTTTTTAAAAAAAAAAATTGCTTTATTTGATTAAAAAAAACTAATCATTAAAAATAAATTTTTTTTTTTTTTAATCATGACAAAGATTAATTCAAAATGTTTATTTGATTGTTGTTTTGTTCGGTTTAATAATATTGCTTATCTTAGTAAGTTTACCTAAGAGAATACCGTTTTGTGAAAAAAGTGAAATTCGTTCATTTAGAATCTCAAAATACAGTAACATTCATAAGATAAGGAATAACATATTAATTTCACGATTTTAGGTGATGTTTTAACAAGCATTAATTCTCGTAAGATTTACATGTTACTAATAAATGATTATGCCAAATTGTCAATAAATGATTTAGGTAATCATAAACGTGTATCATTAATAATGATATCACTACATTACTAGCATTATTCATTGTATAACTATTTTGTACTTATTATAGGCGATTAACTCTAATTATCTTTTATTTAACTTGATAATATGGAGAATTATTTATAAAGTTAGCGTATAAAATTAAATTGGAGGAGAAATTAATGATTTATTAGTGCGTCTTTCTTAAAACGTCACTCTCTCATCCTCACGATGTGTCTTAATAAAAACTTGATTGCATTTAATATATAAAGAAAAGCAACATGGACGCAAGATATGTGTCATTAACACATATTTATATCATTTAATTATTACTTTGTTGCATTTTCTAGAATCTTGAAATTCAAAAATTCAATTTCGTTTTTTTTCTTTCTATTTAACGGCTAAGAGTAAATTACTTGATATAATATATCAATGATAATAAGAAGTTAGAAACAAGAACTTCTTTTATCGATGTATATGCTTTCACATTGAGGACATTTTTGGAATTTCAATATCTAAATTTTAAAGGTGTTTTACAGATATTTTTCTGTTGATAGTTTGGTCCAAGACAATAAAAGATTTTTTGTCAAATAAGTAGAATCCAATATGAATGAAATATTGATAACGCTATGAATTATTTATAAAATACGATAATGTGTCATTTTCTGAGACTAACTAAAAAAGAAAATATGTCATATGACAAAAAAAAAATATATAAGGCCATTTAGGCCATTTTAAATATAATTTATTGAGCTCATGCTAACACGTACTTTGCGTATATTAAATAAATACTTACCACGTGTCCATTGTAGAAGTGAGTACAACTAATAGGGTCTATATGTAGAGCTTATTAGAATCTCAAGCTAGTATCTTCTCACCAGCTTGGCTGACTACAACTTGGATCACTCAAGAACTTCCAAGTGTTAAAAGAAAATAATATAGTAACAATCGTAACTAATAAAATTGTTGTCACGTGATTAAGAGGTCATAGATAATTTTTGCATAAATATATGGTTAAATTGTATATAATAGACTCTTAGGTCTTTCTTTAGGCCTTTATGATAAAGAAAGCTTAGTGTATCAGATTTTTTTTTAGTAAAAAAAAACTATTCCCACTCGATGTTTTGTATCTATGTTGTTGTTATTGTTCTTTCTCGTAGATTTTATAATGTTTTTTCTTATTAACTGTTATGTTTTCTTCATCGTCTTCTTCTTCTTTTACTTGGGATTGATGCACTTAAGCCAAAGGTCTTTCGGAAACAACCTCTCTACCTCCAGAAGATATTGATAAGATCTGCATACACTCTCTCATTTACAAGTTCTACTTAGTGATTTCACTGAATATATTATTGTTATTATTGTTGATGTCCGGTATCCACTATGAACATGTAAATTGGTGTGTGGTAATTATGCCACTACGCTGAAATGTTTATTGGTTTGTGGTAATGCTAATACATTGAAAAGATTCACCTCGAAGGTAAATTACTCTTTATCAAATACGACTTTATATTCGAGATTTATATCTAAAATCTTTAACTAATGATGAAAAAGTATTTATTACTTCACCGCGATTATTAATGTGGTACAATAGTAATGTTTAATGAATGAAACTTTAAAAGAACAGCTTTGAGTTTGTTGGATTGGACATTATGGGCTTTTATTACATTTTTTTGACAGTTGGAAGTAGTTGTTCCTTTCATTCATGTGGTAGTCCTAGCTGTTTCTTTAAAGATATATATACATTGATTATACACTTATTATGTATTGTATTCGTGTCGAGATTTTCAAAAATAATTTCTCTATTTTTGTAAAGGAGTAAATTTGCATGTATGTTATTATTTTCAAATTTAGAATGACACTGAATATGTAATTGTTGTACACACACTAATAACGATTATAAAGTGTTACAGTTAGATAGATAAAAATCGAGAGAAAGCCAAAAATACTTCCTCATCTTTGGATTAAGATTCAAAGTCATCCTTGAGTTTTCACATGGAGCACTAATAGTCCTTTATGTTTGTAATATTAGTGCACTTTTGGTCCTCCTTCAAAATTTTGCCTATTTTTTAACATTGATTTTATTCATAATTTATGTACATTCGTCATTTTATATATTTAGTAGAAATAATAACTCCATGTGGAGATTATAAGAAGAAAAACACATTGTTTTGTTTAGTAGAAATTGTATTGCAGGTAAAGTCGAGAGGTTCATCACGACGATTTCACGTGCAATATTACAAATTTCTCTTTTCTTGCAATGTCATATGTTAAAATATTCTTAGTTTAGCTGCAGTAATATTTATACTGAACAGAACAATGTGTTCTTCTTCTCACTTTCTCTCACATAGAGTTATTATTTCTACTAAATATATACAAAGATGATGGGACATTCCTTACATAAAACTATGAACAAAATTAATGTTAAAAAATATGCAAAAGTTTAGGGGAGGACCAAAAGTGCACCAATATTGCAAACATGAGGGACTATTAGTGCTCCATGTAAAAACTCAAAGATGATTTTGAGTCTTAATCCAAAGATGAGGAACTATTTTGGGCCTTCTCTCGATAAAAATCATCTTTATAGTCGATTATTGGCTGAAATTGCGGAGATCAAGAAGTTCCTTCGTCTCTAAAAGGATTGTTTAGTTCAAAACAAGGATATTTAAATATAAGGGTAATGCTAAATGGCCAGAGAATTTGGCCAGAAATTTTAAAAAGTTATAATATCTTTTTTATTTTAAAATAAACTGATCTTTTTCCATTTTTTAGTTAAAATGTATTAAAGTTAAAAGGGTAAAAATATTTTGAAAGGTAAAATAACATGGATAAATTATCATTCTGGCCAAATTTTCTGGCCGAAAGGATTTTTCCTAAATATAATTAAGCCCTAAACGAAAAGTTTCCTTTTTTTAATGAAAGATATGTGGTTAAAAAGTAAATCAATAATTATTATGAAAATTTAATGCATTTTGAGCAGTTGGAAGTTAAAATTCCATTAATTATGATGCAGACTTTTGCCCTAGATATTAGGTATACGTATATTACCCTTATGCTAGGTACATTCTCTATTTACTAATTTGCGTGACATATTTAGAATTTCGACCGTTAAATTTTTTTTAATTTTGATTTAAAATTTAGATATATATAATTTTAAGTTTACATATTTAAAAAATATGTAAAGAATATTACACACTACAATAATTAATTAGATATAGTGTGGACATTAATAATTATTGTGAAAATCATGATCGAATTTCGTTAATTATTATGAAAATCACAATCAAGTTTTTTAATCAAGAATGATCGATGTGATGTGTACACTGATAAGAATATCTAAAATTTTAATATAGAATATGATGTGATGTGGGTAATTCCGTAATGAAACTCTTGATAGAGATTAGGAAATGTTTTCTCTTTAACGTGACTTATGTGATGCGAATTTGATTATTTGTAAATCCAATACGAGTATCAAAAAAGGCATGTCGAAGATGATCTCATACTAGGGTATGTATATTTTTTGTCTATTAGTTATTAGTAAATTTTAATTTTTGGTTCTTATGATAAATGACTAATTAAACATATCTTCGATTAACTAAATTATATGCTTTTGGTTCCTTTATGTAATGTTATATTTACACTACTTTTATAATTTTATATACGAGGATGATAAGCAAGATTACAAGTTCAACGTAATACATGAATGATAAAATAACATAATGGTCAATAATTCATTAAATTTGTAAAGATTCATATGCGAAGGGATAGCTCCAACGATATAATCAACAAGGGTCGTAGTGAATTGGTTGAGATCCCTCTACCCAACCAAAGCTCTATGGTTCGAGCTATGAGAATGGAATTTTTTTTATTAGTGTGTCTCCCCAAAAATGAACCCTGCAACACGTAAAATGAATTTAGTCGGACTCTAATATAGATATTGAATACTGAGTGAGAAATCAAGAAAAGAACCCTCCAAATATAAGTTTGGAGATTTAAAATTTTGGAGAGAGTTTAATTGAAAGGTACATTATTATGCTAAATTATTTCAAATTTTATTAACTAGAGAAAATAATGGGACCTAATAAGATATTAGGTTGAGCTAATCATTAAATTTAGCATTTAATGATAAATAAATAAGGTGACCCATGATCACAACCAATTTAATTAAATGAACATTATGGATACAATTTTATTATTTTCTCACAACACGTGTTGGTTTTTAGTTTCAATAAATTGATCACTTTTTCCATAAATACATTATTAATTAATAAACAAATAATTTCTATCCCTAAAATATAAAATATTCACTGCTAATTCTATTTCATAACATATTAGAGATAAATTGTTTTAGAAAAAAAAAACATGTTAGCTATGAACTATTTAGCCCTATCTATTAACGACAAATTTCGTAATTAATTTCTATCCTTTATAAATTATTCATATATTTAACAAGTTGTATTAGGTAATTTTTCACATTTTTTAGTTACTAATCTCATTTGTTATTAAGTATTACATGTAATTATTTTTTAAGGCGTTAATAAAGTGTTATTTTTTTAATGAATTTTATAAAATACGAATTTGACTCGAAACAAAATAGCAAATACCAAAAAAAATAAAAATCCTCTTGATTCAAGATCATGAATAGATCCAAAATTAGTCAGGATCTCATGTTCATTGAATTATAAAATAAAATATAAAATTATTAATTAATATAAAAAAGATAATTCTTCTATCACATGAGAAGAATATTATGATCCAATCTAATAATACATACACAAATTGGTACTTCTGTGATCATGTCAAACTGGAAAAAAATATTTATTTTCTCTTATAAGAGAGATAAAAGGCAAATATGGATTCGTAATTTGAATTTTATTAGTTTGAAATTTTAGCACAATGTGTAATTTTATGAATTTTGAATTTAAAAATGATAATAATTGAATTTAATATTTAATATTTTGTACATATTTAATAAAATTTCAATATAAGTACATTGTTTAAGCAGAAATTACTGAGTTTAATTATTTGAATCCATTTATTTAAGCATGTCGTTTCACTCTTGGCTGAAGGGTCATCAGTAGAATGCTCTTCGTCAAAAAAGTATATTTATTATATATATATAGGCATGATATTACTGTATATTTTTATATATACTAAATCTCGAAACATCTAGCTCTTCTCTTAATTGAAGGGTGATCCGTTGAATGCCCTTCATCGGAAAATTATTTTGTATATAGGTCAAATATTACTTATACTTATATACAAATCTTGAAAGTAACCTTAAATATTCTTAACGAAATTTCTGATTACGTCAGTAATCGAACCTGTATCCAAGTGTTAAATCCAAGTGTTTAGCTTCTTGCTCCACCCCTAACTTGGCCAGATGTTGAACTTCCCTCGTCAAAAAATTATATTATGCACATATGTTAAATATTATTCATATAATTATATACTAAATCTTGAAATTACTCTTATATATCCATTAATAAAACTTTTAATTTCTCTGCTGATCGAATTCGTAACTTATATTGTGGATCTACTCGGACAAAAAGGATCACAAAAAAGATTCATCTAATAATAATTGTAATACTAAATGACAAATTTTATTTTTGTTTGGTCTAAATAACTAATTTTTGTGATATAAAATTGAGTTAATTAACTAACTATTATCACGGATTAAACATACTGTCACGGGTTAAATCTGGATTTATCACGGGATAACATTTGAATATATTATTTTTTGTTTTATATATTGGATTTTAGTCCCCCAAAAAAATAATCCAAAAAGAAAACATCACAAACGAATTATTTTTTCCAAATAAAATAATAAATATACGCTGCGTAAATTCAAAATTAGTCGGATATTGAAATGTATACTTGTTGTCGTCAAATTATATCCTTACTTTCAACAAGAAGTTTCGAGTTCAAAGTTTGGGAGTGAAAAGATTCTCGATGGGAGCACTTCTCGTGACATGAACCTAAATTAGTCGGAATCCTAAAATGAATACTCAGTGTCATTAAGGATTGTGACGTAATGAATATTTCTTCAGTATGCTTAACCAAATTTTTTGAATTTGGGTCTATGAATAAAGAAAATTCCAATAGGGAACATTTTCCCTTTGAATGAGTCTTATGCGATACATATTCAAATTAATCAGAGCTTCAAAATGAGTATCGAATACCAGTGAAAAACAAATACTATGAAAATGGAAATTTTTGGAAGATGAAAGAAACAATTCATTTCTAATTATGGGTGTATTTTATTTTATTTTTCAAGAATTGGGACCATTTGATTTAAATGCAGTAGGTGACATTGTTAATAAATAATGCAAATGTCAGAATAACTACTAGATAATAACGCACCAAGCAAATTATGTATTTTTAGATTTATTTTTACATTCATTAATAAAAAATAGTACTAATAAATCAAGGCTATTCCAATCATTAAGGAACTAAGTAGAAAAAAAAAAACATTTACAAATTGCAATTGGTAAAAAAAAAGAGGATAAATTCTCTAAAAGGAGGAAAATATAAATTTAAAAGCAACTAGAAGTAAATAAATTCCATTGGTTCATAATTATATAGATTTTAAAATAGAATTTCACTTATATAAATTAATAATATTAAAAATATATACATTATTTGACCCATATATAATTGGGCTGGGTAATATGCCATAGTTTTCAAGTTACTAATTTCACTTTATATAAAATTGCTTATAGTTTCACCTCTTAAATAATCCGAACGCTATAAAAGAGAGGATCTGCTTCATAAAACTACGTATTAACTAGGCAACATGTCGAATATTATAAAAAAAAAATCGTTGAGAGTAGAGTTACAATAAAACTCATCTTACAAAAAGTTATTAAAAAAAAAAAAAACTTTGAAACTAAGTGAATAAATGAGATTTGATCATGAACTTTTTCTAGAGTAAAACATTATTTAAATAATTATATGTTAAAATATTGATGCAATCATACCAACATTATATCAAATTTCATTAAAATTAAACGTGTTTGGACGAGATCAATAGTGTTACTATAGGATAAGTGATCCTCGGGAATGTCCTCGTGTTGCATTCCTCTTTATTTCTGTGAGGTAAGAGTACGGTCTGCATGCATATACTTTAATCTTTTCTGATCCATCATTTATTATTTTTTATTGAATATGTTATTATTAAAATATTATAAAATAATGGGAATATAGTAACATTAGCACATGTGAATCCTCTAAAGTTTATAACTAGACAAACTTTTACACTTCAAAAACCATACACAACCTATTTATTTCTATCTCCTACCACACCTATTTTTCTCCATTATTTTAGAACACATCACAATAAATACAATTATTGTCACAAAAACAAAGCATAAAAAGCAAACTTTCCCATCACTTATTCATTATTTTGTCTATACATCTTTCTTTCATACTCCCAAATTATTCCTTCAAAAAAAAAAACAAATTGCTCCAAATGAGTTCAAAAAAACTTGTGACTTTTGAACTTTCTTTCTTCTTCTTGATCTTATTATTAGGGTTTTTGAGTGCGAGTCTCGATAAAGATAGAGAAGAATGTGCTAACCAACTCGTCGGTTTGGCCACGTGTCTTCCTTATGTCAGCGGTGAAGCCAAAGCTCCCACACCGGATTGTTGCACCGGTTTAAAAGAAGTTTTAGACAAGAGCAAGATATGTCTATGTATCTTGGTAAAAGACAGAAATGACCCTAGCCTTGGTCTTAAGATCAATGCTACACTTGCATTAAGCCTCCCTACTTTATGTCATGCTCCACCTAATATGTCTAATGTATCTATGTGCACCGGTAAGTACATGACACGTGTTTTTTTTAAGTGATTAACTTCTATATATTGATATCGAGCCAAATGGAAGATAATTATGAGTTACTATACATAAAATAAAATTAGTAACCTAAAAAATAAAAATACAAAATATATCAATTATATTGTAATTAGATTTATTTTGAAATTTGGAGTTGTGATTTATTTTGCAGATTTGTTGCATTTGGCACCAAATTCACCAGATGCTAAGGTTTTTCAAGATTTTGCAAAAAATGCAAAAGGAAGTTCTGCTGCTCCATCTGCACCAGGTAAAAAAAAGAAGAAAATCAATCAATTTGTTTTAATAAATTTAAATTAATTCTGTTTTTTTTTCGTCTTTATCACTTATCTTTGTGTTTCATTTTATACCACCCTTTTTCTTTTTTTAATCTGTTTAAAAAATAATATAAAACATTTATTTATAGATATAATAAATCTTTTAAAATTTTTAACTTCTTATTTTACCCTCGATGACATCCTCTTATAGTCAACGTCAGAGCTAGGAGGTTGTAAGGGGTTCATCAACATCTTTTTTATTTTTGAAAAATTAAATTGTACATATAAGAGATCAAAATTATTTTTATGTATCTATAGATATTGGATTCCCTTGGTTTTATTATTGCTTATATAGCCATAAAAATATCATGTCGTATCATTACGACATAAAGGAATCTATTTTGAGCTGCTACAGTCCGTCAGTTTGTTGTTGTCGATAATCATTCTGTATTGATGGACGTTTGTCGATCTTATCCATCGAAAAGGGTTTTTAATTAGTAGTGTGTCTATAACTAATACCACAAGTGTTTTTCGTTTTAAAATTTGTGTTCAGTCAAACAGTATTGCGTTAAAATAAAGTAGAGTAAGTAATCTTTTTTTCTTTTTTTCCATTTTTGACCTTTGATTAATTTATTTTTATACAGTTAGTGAGAACTCTAGTGGAAAACCAGCAAATTCTTCAACAAATGATAAGAATGATGGAGGACATAGAAGGAGATGGATGGGATTTATGGAAATGACTATGGGCTTTTTGGTCATTTTGGTGCTTTCATATCTCACCTAACTTTTTAACACATAATTATTGTTTTTTCAAAAAAAAAAAAAATCACATTTGTACTTTTACCTTTTTGTGTTTCCTTTTGTGTTGTTGGCTTTTATTAGTGTGTCTTTTGTTTTCTTATTTTGTAACTCCAGATTTGTGATCTTCAATTCTTTGGAATATCTTTTTTCTTTTAGCTATCAAAAACAGAAAAATATATTTGCTATGTGTGAAAAACTTGAGTTATTATTTTTGGAATTTTTTTTATCCACATTTCAATAGTCAGTATTTTCATGAAGGCTCGATTAATATGTACACTTCAAATCAAATAGTGAAAATCTGAATTTGAGTGTGAGGTGTGGGATGTGGTGATAAATGGAATGAATTACCACATTATTGACGGATGAAAACTCTGGGCTCCTTATATGGTTGATCCTAACTCACATTTAAAAGATAGTCTACGCCATATAAAAAATTGAAGGTTCTCGTGTGTCACCGATGTGGTATTCCATTATATTCATCACCCCCTTCATCTTACCTCCAGATCCGAATATTCTTTCTTCAAGGTTCTATATTGTTTGCAACGTGCATAATCATGAATTGGAGGTATTTCCACCTTTCTTATCCAGGATACATCGGATTGGGCCTGGCTCTGATAATCATGACACATTAGGTTTTGAGCCTAACTCATAAAGAGAATTATCCAAACTATATAAGCAACCATAATGGTTCTCGTCTATCATCAATGTGATATTCCATTCCGCTCATCAACTAATATTAGACTCGAGTCCAATAATGATATATGCAAGGTAAAATTTGTAAAGAGTTATATTTACTCAACTTTTATAAATAGGGACGAAATCTAAATATAGCCTAAAAATGAAGCATTTGTGTAAAATTGAAAAAATAGCCCAATTCTCAAAGTCTAAAACTCAAACTAGCCCATACACTTGGCCCGAAAATGTACCTAATAGGGGGTTGCTCATATGGTAAGCACTCTTCACCTTCAATTTGAGATTGTGAATTCAAGTCATCAAAAGATCAGAAAAGGTAAAAACTCTTACGGAGAGGTAACAAAAACTTCTTGAATGTGACGAATGGATTGTTAACAATAAACGTGGGTGTTTACATTGCATGGTTCAGTGTCTCATGGTTAACAGGGCCTCGACAAATTTGTGCAATATAAGATAAGGAAAACGATATTTACTGTAATTTCTTATGTACTATAGTCCGAATTTGCAGCCTCTAATTAATGATGAATAAATCTTATCCATTCCATTCAGAGTTATGGTAGATGAATATAATTCCTTTAGTTTTAACCCAAAGTCTTGTGTTTGAGTTTTATGAATAGAATTTCTTTATTGTTAATTTAAAGTCTTGTATTTGAATTTTGTGATTGGAAAAAAATTCTAGTAGGGCGTTTCTCCCTTTGACAAGTCTTATGATGTTATGCGATGAGAACTAAAATTAATCGCAATATCAAAGTAGTTATCGAGTGAAAAAAAGTTCTCAAGTAAAAATAATATATGTAATTTTAAATTTCTCATTATTCATAATGACCTGATATACTGTCATACAGTATTGATGACTTGTTTTAAATCATAAAATTCTATCTTTTTTCTAAAAAAAAATCTTCATACTTAATAAAACAACATATACAAATTAGAACCAAAGAATCACTTGATACGCAGAATAAGATAAACAAAAATATCCGAAACAAATTAGTTTTGGCTAAATTGGCTAAAAAATATCCCTCCTTCCAAGAAATTGCACTTTTTTTGGCTTCTTTCTCCCATGTAATCACAAAAGTCCAAACCAAACCCATCCTTCTTGTTCTCATATTGCTTCTCCCTCCAAATTAATGTACACCTCTTTAAGCACAATGTACAACCATCTAAAGCACACCTACCTCTTCCAAAGTTCAATTTCTTCAACAAAAACATGGCTTTCCATTCAACACTCCTTCTATATCTTCTTCAAGACTTAAACCAATAAAGCTGTACTCCCCCCCCCCCAACCCCAAAAGTTAAGGTACACCTCTTTATCCAGGAGGTACAACCATCTAAAGCACAATTTCCCTGTTCAACCACCATTCATGGCTTTCAATTCAATATTCCATTTGGGGTTTCTTATTTTCTTCATATTAACCCCTTTTACTATCTCTTTCATCCTCAGCCCATCACCACAGCCAGAACCAAAACCCACAGTGTATGATGTTCTCACAGTATATGGGCTGCCACGTGGCATCTTTCCAGACACTGTGGAATCCTATAATCTTGATAAAGTTGGAAACTTTGAAGTATTTCTGAAAGCCCCTTGTTATGTAGAGTTTGAATATTTGATTTATTATGCTGAAAAGATTAGTGGGAAACTAGGTATTGGGTCAATTACTGAGTTGGAAGGGATTGAAGTGAAAAGATTCTTGTTTTGGTTTAATGTTAAAGAAATTAGAGTTGATTTGCCACTTTCTGATAATGTTTACTTTCAGATTGGTCTTGTTAACAAGAAGCTTGATATTCATCAGTTTGAGACTATTCATTCTTGTATGAAGAATGGATCTTTGAGACAAGTTCTACAGGTAATTAGTTTGCTTTCAAAGTTTTTATCTTTTTGTTTTGTTTGATTGTATAGTCGATCTCGACTTGTTTATGATTGAGTCGTAGTAGTTATTGTTGTTGTTGTTGTTGTTCTATTAAGAGTATATGTTGTTGGGCGTGAAATATTACATTGTATATACAAGCTATGTTGCTCGGATTTTCCAAAATGGGGATATTCCAAGATAAGCTACTTTTGGAGGATCTAACACACACATGTCTTTTTGTTTTGCTTAATTGTATAGCCGATCCCGACTTGTTTGTGATTGAGTCGTAGTAGTTGTTGTTGTTGCTCCATTAAGAGTATATGTTGTTGGGCGTGAAAAATTACACGGTATATCCAAGCTATGTTGCTCGGATTCTCCAAAATGGGGACATTCCAAGATGCACTACTTTTGGAGGATCCAACACACACCTATCAACATAATATACTTTTTCTTCCAAAGTTTTTGCTTTTCTGTTCTGTTTAAGAGTATAGTCTTAAGAGTACTATATGTGTTCGGGGGTGGAGCTAGAGGGGCGGAAAATCACATTGTATACACAAGCTATGTTGTTCTGACTTTTCAGAATGTTGCTGCAACTGTGTCGGATCCGCCAACATGCATTACTTTTGGAGGATCTGATACACACTGTCAACATAGTAGATAAGGTCACTCTTTTGCACTAAAAGGTAGATTCTTTATTGCACTTTCCAGACTTCATTATTCATCCGAGTAGAGCTTCTACTTGGTGTCTGTGTCTTATCCTCTAAATATGTTGCTGCACTCGTGTCGGATCCTCCAAAAAGGCATACCTTTTGGAGGACTTTTGACACACACACACGACAATATGTTTGAAGAGTCTGAGGAACATAGTCTTTGAGTTTGCTGCAACTTTCATTTCAGTACTTTTTAGCCTTTCTTTGATACTTGGTAGAAAGGTCTGATCATTTACTAGGGAAATTTAATCTTTGTGCTAACAGGATTTTGGGAATTCTGTTTACTCACTTTAAGCTGAGTATCCGTTTCCTGCTAGGATTGGAAATCCTGTATTTTACATAATCCATACGATTGAGTCCTTGAGTTTCCGAAATAGTGTAAAAAGAAGTGCTTCGATTCATTGCTATTTAAATCGTACATGTTCTAAAAAAAGTTGAGGTATTCGTATTGTTTGTTATGACAGACAAAGTCAGGAAAACCTCTTAAATTATTTCAATATTCAACCTTGGACATATAAGAGTTCCGAATCTTGTATTGGAATTTCATTTGCTGACATATTAGTTTTCTCTCTTGATTGGTGAATTTGGCAAAAAATTGATTGAGATGAGTGTTGAATACTGTATATTAGGCAACAGGTTGGGTAAAATGATAAAAATCATCAGCCAACTTGTTCACATCCTCCATAAAGAACTACCTCATCGACACGATTCTCTCTTTTCCCGTCATCTTTCTCCAACCCCTTCATATTTGAAGAACCCTTTTTGTGATTGATCCATTTGAAACTTCTACGAGTGTTCTTCGCGCTTCTCCTGAGGTTGAAGAGTTAGTTAAAATGATGATGGATTCTTAGCTAGTGAAATTTGTTGTTTGTATATATAGTTGCAAAATTATGAGTTTAAGATGTTGTTTCAAAGCATGAGTTTTTCAAGGGGAAAAAAAAGTCAAGGAAGAAGAACTAGGGGTTGTTTGGTAGCCTGTTTGAAAATGAGTCGTGCAAGTATAAGTAACACCACGTTTGATAGCTAGTTAGAAGTTAAGTTCATCATGCATAACATTAATACGGTGTTTGATTTGCAATTCAAAAACCCGCACATCTTATACATGTATAAGTTATGAGGGAATCTATGGATTATGGATTATTTTATGCAGGATAGAAGTTGGAATAAGTAATACATGAATAACTTATCTCTGCATAAAATAACACGTAGATTACGTTATAACTCATCCATGTATCACTAATACATGTATAACTCTAACTATCTACCGAACGACCCCTTGATGTTTGTAAGTTGTAACAAGAAGTTATCTATATTTGCAGCTTCCAGCTCCTGTCAATGATATGCAAATGCTTATTACTGAGTAAATGGGAACAAATATGCAACTCAAGGTGAAATTAGCAATGGAAAAATGTACTGTTAGTTTACTTCATTTGTTGTGACATATGATCAAGATTAAAAATTCCACATGTGTATCGTTTATAAGACGATCTTTGTAGGATCATTTTCTTCTATTCAAATTGTGAAGGACATTTCCTCGATGTTTGATTACACATTAGTTGATGTATATTCCTCTCTTACACCACCCTTCCCGGTCAAGACACATGCAGTCTGTTTTAGTATTTTCGATACGAAACATAATAAATATGTAAAAAGTTATTAAACATTTAAAACTGTGTGGATTCAAAACTCTAAGTTCTAGAAGCATTTTTTTTCCAATTATTTTCAATCCAACTGTCTCATTTTCAAAACCTACATGATAAATTAAGGTGAGAATACGTTAATATTAATTAATCATACGTAATTTGATGTAAACATCGAACGTAAGTAAGCTCATTTTGTGCTGATATTATATAAAGAACTAATTTTTATATTTAATCCATTAAAGAGAGTGATAATATAATACATCATGGACAAGTTAGGTAATTTTTAATTTTTTTTGTTATTTCCTCATAACTTCTTTTTGTAGTTTATAAATACACCCACCATCTTTTCAAAGTCATAAAGTTGAAAATTACTTATTAAGACCCTAAACTTTTTCAACCATCCATTAATCTATTTATAAATTTATGTCAGTTTTTTGCACTAGTAATAAACAATTCTGCAACTTTCCTTTGAGATGCTTTTTTTGGGTTTCTCATTATCTGCATTGGAGCTCGACTATTTCAAATTCGCATCGCGTAGGGCAAGGAAGCTCTCCCTATCAAGGATTTTTCCATACTCAGGACTCAGTGGCGGAGCTAGAAATTTTAATAAGGGGGTTCAAAATCTGAGAAGTAAACACACGAACTAGTGGAAGGGGGTTCGACATCTATTATACATACCTAAAAAATAATTTTAATCATGTATAAATAGTAATATTTTTTGCCCAAACCCCCTCATTATATGCTGCCTTCGCCCCTGTCGGGACTCGAACCCAAAACCTCTGACTAAGGGAGGACCAGCCCCATCTGCTGCACCATCCTTTGAGATGCTAAACCGTATAGAAAAACAAAAAACCTAACAATAAATAAAGAGATCATAACACTTTTAGTCCCTCGATTATTGATAAATTCTAATTTAGATCCTCTTAAAATTTGATAAATCACATTTTGACCTTCAATTATGTGAAATGCATGTATTTAGTCCCTTTGGGTAGGAAACATGTTACATTTGGACGATATTTAAAACATATTACAGTCAAATATGAAGTAACAATATAAGCGTAACATAAAACAGAGACAACTAAATGGACAATTAATAATAATCACGAAGAAGTGGATAAAAATATGCATTTCAATCAATTGAAGGTTAAATGTGTTTAGTCAGATATCACAAGGACCAAAATTGAAATTTAACAATAACTAAATAAGTGCTTTGCCTTTTCCTTTTTGGCTTCAAAGTATTCATAAGAATGCCTTTCACTCGTGAATAAATTAACTAATCTTTTATAACTTTCCTTCTTCTTTCCTTTGCTTTTTTCCCATGAAAAACTCATGCTTTAAAGCTAAAAAAACAAACAATTTAAACTCACAATTTTGCAACTATTTAAACATCAAGTTTCACTATATAAGAATACCATCAACATTTAACTTAACTCTTCAACCTCCATAGAAGTGCGAAAAATAAGTTTCAAATGGATCATCATCATCATAATCACCAAGAAAATTCATCAAAAAATATGAAGGGGTTGCAAAAAGATGGTGGAAATAGAGAGAAAATCGCGTCGACGAGGCACAAGTTCTTGGTGGAGGATGTGAACAAGTTGGCTGATGATTTTATCAAGAATTTCAGAAAACAACTTAGGTTTGAAAGAGAAAAATCATTCAAGAAATTTCAAGAAATGCTTAATAGAGGGACTTAAGATACATATATGATGTTTTGTTTAGTTGTTTCTTGTTTCCATAAATGTTGTGTTTTTTGCTTTTCTTGAGCTGAGGGTATATCGAAAACAGTCTCTCTACCTATCAAGGTAGAAATAAGGTTTACATATACTCTACCCTCCCTACACCCCACTTGTGGAACTATATTGAATATGTTGTTTGTTGTTGTTGTTGTTTAGTTCTTTCTTGGAATTGTAATGTTCTCGAGTGAAAATATAGTATATTTGTTCTGTCATTCTTGTGAAGTGAAGTTGCCAAATGTGTTATGATGTGATTGTGTGAGTTAGATGCACGTCACCAATTTAAACGTACAACAGACAAGTCTAATATATAAGTGAAGAAGGGTTGAGGAACAAGACTCTTATTGACCAAGTTTAGAATCGTTGCTTGTCCTCGAGGATTTCTCGGTTATAAAAATATATAATTAACAATAATAGTCAGACCAGAAAACTCTTATTGGTCCAAGAAGCTCCCAAGCAGGATAAACACAATTGTTTTCAGGGTCGTTTGATAGAGTGTATAAGAATAGTGCCGAATGTAATGTTTTAATAATATTGGTATTAGTTGATATTTGTTCCTATGCATTGTTTGGTTTGGTGTATTAAAAATACATAATTTTTATAATTAAAAAAAAGTATTTGTTTACAAAAACATCCTCCACAAATACGGTGTTAGTGATGTGGAAAATGATTAAAGGGGAAACATGCTAATGCAAATATTAAAAACCAAATAACATATTAGTAATACACAAAGCTAATACATGCATTTTTTTTTCCTAATGAATCCTACTAAATGATCCCTTAGCATCTATGTTGTTCGGTCTCTCCAAAATGTTATCGCATTCATGTTGGATCCTCCAAAAATGCACTATTTTTGAAGGATCCAACATGCACTGATCAACATTTTTCAAGAGTTTGAGCAACTTAGTTTAGCAGCATCAACAACAATAATGGCTACGCCTCAAATCCCAAACAAGTTAGGGCCGGCCATATCAATCCTCAATAACCATATTTCCCCATTTAAGCTCAGCTCATGTCATCATCATAATACCAAAACATTTAGCATAACATCTTCAATAAAAAAACTTTGGAATTACATTTAACCAAATGTCATCTAAAACATTACAACAAACAGGAAATTCGACGAATTCTAATGCGAAAAACGCAACATGTAACTCTTTCAAGATTTTACATTAACCTTTGCAAGCATGAATACAAACTCAGGCATGTCATGCAAAATCTTGAAAATGTCACATCACTGAACCTATCAATACCTGTTTCTACAATACCTTTCGTCGAAAAGCACAAGCTTTAGGACATGACACAGCCACTACGTTCTAACCGATCATAAGCGACATATTCAACAGCAGGGGCAGCAAGATCATAATGCTGGCCACTCCAATTCCAATTATATTGTGTACAAATCTTGAAAAGAAGGCAGAGAGAAGAAGCTAAGAAGCAGAGATTCCGGCTATATATCGTTCAAGTTCAATGACCAACCTATGTTCAAAATATGGTATTCTAAGACGGGAACTATCGGTGAAAAACTACAGGCCAAAAGGATACACAAAATATAGAGCTATCTGATCTTTTCATGCAAAGAAACAACCTCATTTTTTACTTCCAAACTCTGCGTTGGAACAGACGTTTGAGATGAATTAATGGCAAAAGTATGAAAATACCAGAGAAATCCATGCACAAGCTGTTGGCAGTGAAAGCCCGCCTCTTCAACGGGCCATTATGGACAATCAAAACACTTCCACACGACAGGCACAAATATTACCAGGTTGAGCATTATCTGCAGAGGCTGCAGAAGGTCACCTGGAAGTGAAAATGAATGATGCAACAATTTGGTTCACAAACGGAATGAGACCATGTTGAGGATGTCAAAACTGCTTTAATGGAAAAGATTTTGTTCTTTGAGATTGAAGAGGCTGAACCTATTCCTAGTTCTCGTCAAGAAGGGCGACTAGACATTACTTACAATCCTCAGGCTTGTAGAACCTGACAATGCACAATATGGCTCTTCAACCCTCCTCGTCCTGCGATGCTTGACCATAAATTAGTAAATAGAGTTCTGAAGTGACCTTTACCAGCAATGTTCTCCCAAAGATGTGGGTTAGTTTCCACTTGTTTATCAGGGCTTGATACATCAACCATACTAATGCTCATGTTGTTACGAATTATACAGAGTTTACCATTAAGAGGAACCAGAGCTGCAGCCTCTAAAGCACGAGAACTTCCAAGATGGAGTTTGCTGTCAATGAATCTATTCCACGAATCTGAGGCTCCATCATATACTCTAAGTTTACACCCATCACGACAGTCCAAAGCATAAAGGCAACCGTTCATGGAAATACTTGGGTTGCGCCAACCAGCAACCATCCCGTCAGTGACAGGGCTCCATCCATTGTTTTCCGGGTTATAGGCTTCACTTAGGACTTCTCTGTGGGATCCCAGCCCTTTCAAAAACCATTTCCCGTCATAAATAACCCCAATAAAGGGCACCATAGCTGTGCTCATGTCAGCAATAAAGGTCCAGCGGTTCCTATTGGGGTCATAAACCTCAGCTGAACGGAGAGTCCTTTGGATTCCTTCACATTCTCCACCAGCAACATAAAGACAATTGTTGATTACACAAGAACCAAAGAAATGACGTTTACGAAGCATGTCTGGTGCCCTGTGCCATTTATTTGTACGAGCACTATAAAAGATTACCCGTCGCATAGACCCCTTGATTGGATCTTTTCCTCCAAACAAGTAGAGATGGCAACCACTAAGAACAGCACAACCAAATCCAAGGGCTTCACTATATTCCCCGGGAAGAGGTGGAAGTGGCTGCCATAGTTGGTATGTTGGATCAAATGCATGCCATGAAATCCTTCCGTCACGATCTCTCTTTATCACGTATACCCACTCCTCCGCCATTCCAAGACTCTTCCTGAGTGAGTAAAAGAAATTTCCAGCAAGAAGTCGATACCACCTTTTGCAGACTAAACGGAGCTTGTTGTGTTCAACACGAGGAACACGTATTAGACAAGCAATTGCAAGATCATCTGGTAGACCAGGCAGAAGAGGTGACTGCACTCTTGACCTCTCCCTACGGGAGTTTTTAGTCTTGTGTGCGTGAGGATTAATGTCCGGCTGGATGCAAATTTTTGATCCTGCGA